TTATCATTATTTTCTGTATACTTATTCTTTCTGCCGTACGTTTCCGTTCATTATGGTTCCTTTGGATTTCTATTTTTCTCTTGCCTTCTTGTGCTATATGAAGTGTAGCAAAGTTCTAAGTTGAAAATTCAGCCAGTTGTTTGTTGTGTCTGAATAAACAAACATGAAACCTAATGTATAAATCAGTGTTTCTTCACAATCTATTATTTGCTGACTCATTGTAGTAGTGTTTTGAATAAATGGATATCAGAAGACGTTTGTTATAGAGAATCAGTTCATTACTCATATGCAAATATTCATAGTTAACATTAAACGATTATGGGTTGTTCATTAAACAGTAAGTTGTTTGGTTACAGAATTTCATCATGGGCTGACGTCGGTTAGAGAACCATTGGACAGCTGTTTCATCCGACCTTGGCACTTTTTAACAATACGCACCCACCGGGGTTCAAACCTTGAACCTTCCGACTACAAGGTGAGTCTGTAGGTCATTCAACCACTATTGGTTCATGAATTCCAACTTCTGCCAATTCACGGTGTAGGGCAACCCGGTGGATGCGTACTGACGAAGAGTTCCGAACTAGGCAGAAACAGCTGTTCAGTACTCCCATATTTTCCAATGGCTCTCCAACCGATGTCAGCTCATGATGAAATCGAATCAAATCCCTACAAACCAACACTTGAGTAAGTTATTTGTTAGGGATATTTAAGTAAGTGCTCACACAAATTATCCTGAGGCCATTTTATGTTAGGCTGAAATTTTATCCACTATAGCAATTATCCTAAGGATAATTACACTTGTTTCTGGAGTTTAAAAATGTATCTGTTACTTGGAGAACAAACTTTTCGATTTTATTTATGATTGTAAAATTATCATGTGAGATCACTAATAAGTGTTTGAGAATTGCGACTGAATAAATTGCATATTACACGTTAATCCCACGTGCTCGACAATCCCTCTTATTACCCAATTCCTTGAAATTGTTCTTACTAATTCTTTTTATTTTAAGGGAACGATATTTGTACTGTGCCGCGAAGTAATTTGGAAACTACTCGAGTACTACGGCGTACCCCGAATATTCATCAACCTTATTCAACAGCTGTACGACAACGGCACATGTCAACTGATCCACAACGGAAAACTCAGCGAGGCGTTTGGAGTAAACACAGGAGTCAGACAAGGGTGCTTATTATCACCAATGATATTCCTAATTGTGGTGGACTGGATTATGCGGCAGACAGCGGGAAACGAGAAGACAGGGATATCCTGGACCGAAGTAAAGAACCTAGAAAACCTAGTTTACGCGGATGATTTATGTTTGATGTCACACAAAATCGAAGACTTACAAGCGAAAACCGACAAACTGGTCGAAGAAGCAGCAAAGACAGGACTCCAGGTGAACATAGACAAGACGGAGGTTATGAAAATAACTAACCAACCAACAACAACAGCAGCAACGTCCAGCGCCAATCACCATTAACTGGAGGGATTTGAAAGAGGTTACTTCATTCACTTATCTTGGGAGCATTGTCTCAACCACAGGAGAAACGGACGGACGAGGATGTCAAATCGAGAATCGGGAAGGCGAGAAACACATTCATCAACCTGAAACCAATCTGGAAATCTTCGTCACTCAGCCTGCATCAACAACGAAATTCGGATTTTCAATACAAACGTCAAGTTAGTCACTTCTTCTATACGGATCAGAAACTTGGCCAGTGTGTCACAAAGAATATTTCCAACAGGTTGCAGACCTTTATCAACAACTGTCTTCGTTCTATACTGAAGATCAGATGGCCGGAAAGAATCACCAACAAGAAACTATGGGAAGGAACAAAACAAGAACCAATCGCCCAACAAATATGCAGGAGAAAGTGGAGATGGATTGGACACTCGCTGAGGAGACCGCTGGGTGACATCGCGCGTCAGGCCATAGGTCGAGTGGAACCCGAAAGGGAAGCAGCGAGTGGGACGTCCAAGGGTGACATGGAGGAGATCGTGTGAAGAGGAGTTGAAACAGTATGGATTAACATGGATGCAGGTGAAAAGTAAAGCAGAAGACAGAAACAAGTGGAGACGTGTAGTTGAAGCCCTTTGTTCCACTAGGAATCCAATGGAACAATAATAATAACAATAATATGTGTACTATTTTTATTATTTCCTTGAGTTCCGACTGGAACATAGGGCTTCAACAATACATCTCCACTTTCTTCCTTTTCCTACCATCCTCTTCAGCTGGGTCCACGACTGCCCCAAACATCTCATCTCTTTCTGACATGATCTCTATGTCACCCTAGGACGACCCACTCATCTCTTCCAATTTGGATTCCACTCGACCAATGCCCTAGCGCGCGATGTCATTCGACGGCCTGCTCAATGTATGCCCGATCCATCTCCATTTTCTCCTAGATATTTGCTGAGCAATCGGCTCTTGGTTGGTTTGTTGTCAGAGTTTCTTGTTACTTATTCTTCCTGACCATTTGATCTTCGGTATAGAGCCAGCGAAGACAGTTATTGATAAAATTCGGAAATCCTATTCGTGACACTCCAAGTTTCTGACCTGCATGGAAACACTGGCTGACTACACATTTGTGTTTAAAATCCGAATCTTGTTGTTTATATGCTGGCTGAGTGCAGAAGATTTCCAAACTGGTTTCAGGTTTGTATATACTGATAATATTAATGTAAAGCTACTTCATTCTCCATCTGTTACAATTTTGAAAACCAGTCAAAATGTGTCTGAATCGACAAAATTGCTGAGACATACAGTAAACATGTTCATAGATGCTTCATTTTTATGTTCTTTGTTTGATAAAATACATGTAACCTACAGGAAGTCGTTCATTCAAACGTGGCATTACTCGGCCATCGTCTCTTGTGTAGCGTTTAGTGACTGGTTAGAATTTCGGGCTTATAGAGTAGTTGCCAATTACAGAATTATATATGTAACTTTGAAATCAATTTAACTGTGCAACTAGATTGATTCTATATTATCGGTTAACAAATAACCTTTTTTAGATGGTTGGAGGCAGTTTGCAGGAAACCTTGCTTGACCTAGGTTTCATGCTAGTTGGCAATCACCAGTCAGTAGGGCGTATCTGCAACCTTCAAAGAACTCATATCTTTTTATTTTTTTTAAATTTTTTGATTACATCTTGATGCCACACAGTATTTTCAGTACAAGTATGGAATTTTCAGCATGGATATCGGTAGCCCAAATTTTGCAGGCCGACCATAGATATCGGGTGTGCGTCGGCAGGGGATCGAACCCCGGACCATGTGCATGATTGGCGAGAGTCCTAACCACTGTGCTCTTCTGAGATTCGAACCCGCGCCACCCAGTGCTGCAGCCAGAAACGCTATTCGGGCTCGCGATTTACCTCCTGTGAAACTAACTGTATTGGATACTTTGATTGGACACCAGTTATAAGTGTCCAATCAAAATAATCTTTTTCTTATCATTTCATGTGCCTTTTTCTACCATTAGTTAGTCATTTTGAAAATTTCTTTAGGAATTTTATTACCCAATGAAGCTAAATGGCATATTGTAGAATATCTTCATCTACTATCCGTTTAACTAAAAGACATCAAAAAGTCTTTAAACTATGTTTTAAAATCATCTTTTGAGGTTCAACAGCACAACTATATAATTCTTTTGAGAAAATTAATTATTGTGCTGATAAAGTCAACGTTTTGAAGGAATTTTGAGACACAACTCAACTGAGGCTGTTAGAACTTCACCGTGTATGATATACCCATTGGGCGTAATTTCCGTAGGATATTTTTTGTTTAAATAATGTGCGGAACTTTGGAGCATAATTGTTAATTACAGGATGTAAGGTGGTTAAGCATCATAGAATATAATTATTCCCGTTCAAGCTGTTGTCCTTGAAGATGGGCAACTTTCCACACTTCTGAAGGTCGAGTGTGTGTGTTTTATAAATTTAAGAAACAAAGTAGAAAATCGGCTTGGTGAAAGTATACCAATTTTAGATTTTTTCCAAATACTCAAAATATCCTTTAACATATGAAGGATATGTGTGAAACAAAGCTTGTAAGGTTGATTAAAACGGATCAGATCAGTAAACGGGGAGAATCACATCGATATAATTTTTTAGGATGAAGAAAGTACAGTAGGTTAATATGTGTGTGTGTGTGAAACTTAAACACTGTAATAGTATGCAACTTCGTATGTTTGTTTATTTATATGGATCACACAGTGTCTTCTGGATAACGTTTTAAACCTCACTTATTGTTCATAATTAAGTGTTTCATTGTGTTATCTGCATAGTAAATAAACTAATATGGAACGTACAGTAGGGGAAAACCTCAGGAGTATTCCGGTTGGGTATTCACAACACTATGGTTTCAGATATTCCCACTAGTGGAGTGATAATGTGTTAATCTGTTTATCTTTATTTTATGACGACGTATATTAATAGATGACATAGGCTAAATTATTCTGTAATCGAATCAGGATTTTAATCGTTTATATGCATGTATATTGAAACCTTACTTCTGAGTTGTTTTTCCCATGCAGTCTGTATTCGGGGTTTGTAGTATGATAGACTGTTTATTATCTGTTTTCAGTCTATAAAGTGTAGAACTGTAACTGACTGGTCTAGGCATCCGACTTCGAATAATTGGGTCACAAGTTCGAAAAGCGCTCCGTATACCTGGATTCAGATAGCCAATTTGTATCACTGTCCCTCACATAATAAGGTCTGGCTCATCACCAAATGCATTTGAATAGATCCTGACTGATTTCCTCTATCAGTTAACAGATATCTTGTTAAAAAAGAGACCACTAATCCTAGGTCTTCAGCTTTTCTTGACGTATAACTAAAATATCTTATAATATGTTTCCATTTTCGAAGATTTTTCAAACGGTGAAATGATGTTTTCGCCTTTGATTTTACTGAGTTTTACTTGTTGCTTGATTTGTTAAAAATACTCACTCCAACTGCCCACCATTTTTTTTCTTTTTTTATCTTCTGTAGATATCGATCCATAAAGTTTTAAGTTGTAAAACCCCCACCAGTGGATATCATTATTTCTCTAGGCTTATCATATCTGCAATTAAATGTCAACAGTTTCAAATGAGTACTAATTCAGTTAAAGAGCATCATAAACTAGCTATAGAAAGATTACACAACTGGTTGTCTAACAATGATCTGCCATTGAAATCGAATTGCAAAAGTACATCAAATGAATGCTTCACTTATGAGTACACTTGCTATGATCCTTCGACACAAAAACCTTTAGTACGCTACAACCCAACTACTAGTTTACAACTGGATGAAATGGCGGTTAATGCGTGTAAAGCTCAAAAACAATGGGTTGATCTGCCACTTTTAGAACGCGCGAAGGTATGTGTGTTACCCATTTTAGTCATTTTTTTACTATATCTTATGAATACACAGAAAATCATTATATATATATATATAATAACATTGGAGTGCTACACAGTGACTCTGGCTTTTGTAGCTTCTACTAAGGCAAATCATTCACACTATTCCATTAGTTAAAGAAGTTTACATTGTTTTTGTGTTCATCATTGAACAAAGCTTGGAATGGCAGTCACCTCTCTATCTCAACTTCATCGACTTTGAAAAGGCCTTCGACAGCGTCGATCGAGAGGTGATTTGGAAACGACTACGCTACTATGGGGTGCCACCGACAATTATACATCTCATCCAATAGCTGTACGACAATGCTTCATGCCAAGTAATCCACAACGGGAAACTTACGGAATCCTTCGAAGTGAAGACAGGAGTAAGACAAGGCTGGCTGCCTACTATCGCCAATGATTTTCCTGATTGCAGTAGACTGGATAATGCGACAAACAGTGGGCAATGAGGAAACAGGCATAAAATGGACTCACACAAAAAACTTGGGGGATCTGGACTTCGCCGATGATATATGTCTGATTTCCCACAAACTGGAAGATATGCAAGCGAAAAGCAACAAGTTGGCGGAAGAAGCAACAAAGATAGGACTTCCTTCAGGTGAACATAGAGAAAACAGAGGTAATGAAGATTCCTGGACAAGAACAACAATAACAGACAACGATTAGCATAAATGGAAGGAACCTGAAAGAAACAACCTCTTCTACCTACCTGGGAAGCATCGTTTCAACTACAGGCGGAACTGACGAGGATATCAAAGCAAGGATCGGAAAAGCAAGACAAGCTTTCACTACTCTCAAGTCTGTGTGGAGGTCAACAGCACTCAGCATCAAAAATAAGATCCGGATTTTCAACTCCAATGTGAAGTCAGTCAGTGCTACTCACTATACGGATCAGAGACTTGGCACGTCATAAAGAGCATCTCAAACAAACTACAGACCTTCATTAACAGCTGTCTTTGCTCAATACTCAAGATCAGATGGCTGGCCAGAAAAGATCAGCAACAGGGTTCTCTGGCAATGAGCGAACCAACCCAGCAGGAACCGATTGTGAAACAAATAGGCAGGAAGAAATGGAGATGGATTGGCCATACTCTGAGGAAACCATCAAGTGACACCACTAGACAAGCCCTTGAGTGGAAACCGAAAGGGAAGCGGCGAGTTGGTCGTTGATGCGAGGGTGACTTGGAGGAGGTCATGTGAAGAGGAGATGAATGCGTGTGGGCAGACTTGGAGCCAGGTGAAGACTCTATCAGAGAAGCGAACTCAATGGAGACGCACGGCTGAAGCCCTATGTTCCTCTAGGAATTAAAGGAAACAATAATAAATAATAATACATTGTTTTTGTGTACGGTTGTAAACGTGAATTGTGTTAGATTGTAAGTTATTGCAGATTAGCGTATTTAATTTGTTCACATTTTATGATCATTCCAGTGGGTAGATACATTCATTGAATAAAGTCACAACTATCTACCGGCTCCATTCCTTCTTTTAGCTTCTAACTAAACAGTGCAGTACATTTTGAACACAGTACATGGATGTTTCGGCATCTCCATATATATAATTACAATCTTCTAATGATATATTTCAGCGTCTACGGAAAGTGGGTGATCTTATTCGTAATGAAGCAGGTTGGCTTTCTGAATTAGAAACACTGGATACTGCTAAACCCCTTTGGGAGGCTCGGGCAGATATTGAAGCATGTGCTGATTCATTTGAATTATTTGCTGGTTTCATTCCAAATTTTACTGGTGTTCATGTTCCTGTTCCACCAAATCCTGGCAGGTTATATAACATGTTTCTGTGTTATTTTCCTGCTTTTATTTGTTTTTCATTTTAATCAGTAATATTGTTTAAGTACAGAATTTCTACGTTTGTTTACTACAAATAGGTAGATGTTACTTAAAGTAAGACTTGACATCTTTGCATAGTGGGTGCTGAAGTGCATCTGCTTGATATTCATTAAAATAGTAGATTAATATGAATACAACGACCCAAAGTCACTAAACCTTGGTAAGCAATATAGTACAATATTGAAGAGCGATTATATATATATATATATATTGCTTGGTTGGAGGTGATCAGTATTAAACCCTGAATCCTAGGTTTTTGGGCTTATTGGTACTGGTCACTAGCACAAGTGTTGCGTCGGTGGTTCAGCGGTAGAACGCTCGCCAACCACGGACGTAGTTCGAGGTTCGTTTCTCAGCCGATGTACTCCTAAACCTCGCTAAACGGGAAGTAAGCCCGGTAGGGAGGGAAGGTTGGACGTGAGGCTAGTAATCCTATCCCGAAAAAATAAAACCACTACTGCTGAAACTTCAAAGCTTTAGCTTAAATCCCTATGTATTCCACTCGGAAAGTAAGAGGAATAATTGATTATTATTTTTATTACCGCCATGAGTTAGCGATCTCACGGAAACTGACTTCTCGGAGATCCGAGCTTATTTCCCTTAGCGCTGCAAACAAAGGCATTAACACTGGTGTATTTGAGTTCGAGATTGACTCCCTGTGCCAATAAGTACGCAATCTAGGTCTGTAGCTTCTTGCCGATCACCTTCAAACACACTACAACATCATTTCAAAGTGAACCGCATTGGTGAATTACTTAGCTTGTTGAATTCATTGCAAACCTGACTGAAAGTTCGTGAACCGTACTTTCGTTTTAGTATCAGTTTGCTGTATTCTCTTGAGAATCCAATGCACGCAAGTTGGTTTTCAGGGCTAAATGGGAGAAGCAACCAAGGGAATGACATTTGTTGGACTACAGCTGTACAACATTTACTTGGGAAAATATAGGTCTTGCTTGCGGACTACTTAAGATTCTGAACAATGAATAGACTATTATTAGTATATATATATATATATATATATATATACATCGAATTCGAATCTAGAATTGTTTCTCGGCGTAGCAGTACGTGTTTCACTTCATTAACCTTATAGTGTTTCATTCTGTATTGTGTATTTTACTTTTTAGTTTCTACTACACTAGAAGAGAACCATTCGGACTTTGTGCTGGTATTGGTGCTTGGAATTTTCCTTTCCAGGTAATTACAGTTATTTACATTCAGAGATTAGGGATACTTGAATTCTGATGTATATATATAGTTGTTTCTCGTCAGCTGCGTGCAACCTACAACATTTAATAAAACAAATCATAAGGCAGCCTTGAAATACATTTTGTTTATCATCTTGAATCAATCCTCCAGTAAGTATTGCTGTAAGAAAGTCATAATGGAACAGGGCAAAAGGACGATAAGGTTATCTCAAATTATTTGTGTATATTTGGGCTACCGATATCACAGCTGAAAATTCCATATATGTACCGAAATACTGTGTGGAATCAAGCTGTAATCAAATAATGTATATATATACGTATTTTAAGGGCGAAGGTACTCGTAAGAAGTAAAGAGTTTTGCTGTTAGGGTGGTGATAAGTCAGTGGTAATTGCCTAATCAGAGATAATAAACTATAGTGATTGGATTCCATAAGATTCGAAAATCAAAATTCGGTATGTACGAAGTCGAATGAAAAGATGATTATGTACTACAGTGAGTACAATCCAAGGTGTAAAAAGTTAAGTCTGATATGAAAGTCAAGCGAAAATTGGGGAAAGTACAAAGTGATGAGGTGAGAAGACAACGAATTAATAAGGAAAGAGTTACCAGGGTAATTGAAGTCACACGACAGATTCCTTTTGAACACATAGGTCATGTTTCAATCGTTTTATTGCGATAGCCTCAGCAAACCCGAGAATAATTGGGCTATTTTGTCTGTTAATTATTCTGAATTCAGTCAATACGTCCACTCGGTGAGGTTCTGTATATATCAGGTGTTTGGTAATTGATGAGTTTAATCTATTTGGTTTCCTTAATCGAAGACTCTTTGGTAAATGTTCGTAGAATTTGACATAGGCCATTCTCTGTATTCTCCCAGTGCAACTGGCCCCGCATTTACATGCGAATTGATATACACAGCTGAAGGCAACATATGAGGGTGTACTTATCGATTTTTAACTGTATCAACAAGCAAGATGTTTGGATTAGAGAGATTAGTTTTGCTGCCGCGTACGTCCTGGTTAGTGCTATACTTAAATGTTGATTTATCAGTCTCATCGAGTTTATTCTGCATCAGTGTTTTTTCTATCTATTTGCCGAGGCATATGAGGTTAGGTGGAGCTCAACACGTTTATATATGCTAAGAACTATGTGAACTTGATTCATCTTAACTTCAGTGTCCTATTTGAGTACTAATTTGGAGAAACTTCGACTATTTTATTTATGATTGGTGTCTAACTAGTGCAATGTTTGAAACTAAATAGCACATGTTATACGGCAAACTGTTTAAATAGTAACATTATTTTAGTGGGAGGTGTTGTTTGAACTCAGTTTCTGGAACACATATTTCATGTTCCAGGCTGTGAGCCACACTGGTTGTGTTAGGCCTGGTGATACTACCCGGTCGCCCCGATTGAAATCGACAGAGTGGGATTCGACCCTGAGACCCACTGGGTGAAAGTCAAGTGCTCAAGCCAATGATCCATGTCTTCACTTTATTATTATTATTATTATTATTATTATTATTGTTCCTTTGGGTGTCGAATAGAATATAGGGCTTCAACAACATATCTCCACTATGTTCTATTTTCTGCTGACCTCTTTAGCTGGGCTTACGATTGCCCATAATCTCTCATCTCCTCCTCGCCTAGTTTACTTTCTCGCTAGTTTCCCAGCCTTTTCCAAGCCCGGGAAAAGAGGGGGGGATTGAGTGTTGGGCTAGCGGCCCCTACCCCAGGAAATCAATCAAACTCCTCCTGAAACTTCGACGTACAAAAATGTTTAGAATACGTATCCACTTAATGGAAGATAATTTCTCTCAAAAGTTAGTCTTGCCAGTTGGATGGATAATTCTAGTAAATTTATCCAGATTTAAGTCATTATCTAACAGGTATCTACATTTATCGGGAAATATGTTCAAATCCACATGTTTGTTTGATTATTTCTGTTTACAACATTATTGAAATTTCTTCAACAGACATAATTTCGTAAGATTGAATTTTGATCATTATAGGCTGCATGGACAGACTAATTGCAAATGCGTAGACATTGTGTATTTGTTAAAAACTGTTTATTAACAGGCAGCACAAATTTTTGAATATTGTTCATTGTCTTACACACAGTTTGGTTGGTTACAGGACTTAGTCATGAGCCGACATCGGTTAGAGAACCATTGGAAAACCTGGGAGTACTGGGGTACAACAGGCCAGATGTGAGGACAAATACATGCCGATAACACTGGCTAGTGGTCGTGCTATGTCGCGAAATGGCAGAAGTTTGAATTCATGGACTGCCCATTGGGTTGGATCTCAGTGGCTGAACAGTCTACAAGTTCGCCTTGTAACCAGAAGGTCCTGGGTTCGAACCTTGTTGGCGGGTGCGTACTGATGAGGAGTCCCAAACTAGAACGAAACAGCTACCCAGTACTCTCAGATATTCCAATGGTTCTCTAACCAATATCAGTTCATGACGAAATCCTGCAGCCAGTAAGTAATTCATTGTGTGTATGTCATCTAACCTGCAAGTTATCTCAGTAGTAAATATTAATTATTTATTAATCTTTCAAATAGAATAATAGTAAAAATTCCGAGTAACCCTTGAATGTATCCTATTTCACAAATTCGTATTCAGTAATTACAATGTGGGATATTGTTAATTGATTTTACAAAGATGAAGTGTTTGACTAACTTCTAAACACAAAGGTAAGGAAATTTACGAGAGAAAGATCATGAAAATCTAATGGATCTCTAAGAGTTCACCAAGACTGAATGTATCTGCACCACTCAGAACAATTTTGAGCCAATGTCACCAACAATCGCTCCAACTAATAGATTCTCAGCATCTTGAGCAAAAGTGATTAACAGGAAAGATGAAATGACATAAATTTATCAAGCCCCAAGAAGTTGAATGAATCATCAAAACACTTTGGAAGTTTTGGAAAAAAACTACAGGAAATCAATGAGAAATGAATACTACATAGATGTTATTAAAAGAAGTCACGCTTAACTGACGGACAAGTTGGGTAGAAGTTAGTGACTCTTTAGGAGAGACGAATGACTCGATGGTATTATGTAACTAGGTAGATTTCTTTTCATGGTGTAGTAACGGGTTGAATCCACAAAGTGTATCAGGGTATTGCCTCTGGTGAATCAGTTCGTTTCTACCAACATTTCTGACTAATTTGAAAATATTCGCATCATAATAATTATCACGTCGCTGACGAGTATTAACAGTATTTTTTAAAAATAAATGCTCACCTTTTATTCTTGTGTTTTGGCTCATAAATATGAATCATTATTTAAAAGTTATGTGTAAATGAAAACTGCTAGTTTTCGCTCTTGTTTTTCTACACAATTTACTTCAGATAATGTGACAAGTTGAGCAGCTGTTTACTTCCTCAATATTAACTGTAGTTTTCCCATGCATTTTATTGGTAGTTTCTTGATAGTTATGTATTCTCAAGTATCAGTTTTGTAGGGATTTTGTTTGATTGCATGGAGGATTCCATCATGAGCTGACATCAGTTAGAGAACCACTGGAAAACCAGGGAGTACTGGACAGCTGTGTCATCCTAGTTTGGGACTCTTCAGCAGTACGCACCCATCGGGATTCGAACCCAGAACCTTCTGGTTACAAGGCGAGCTCGTACACCATTGAGCCACTGGGACCCGATCCAATGGTCCTAGAATTCAAGGACCATTTGTGTAAGGTTGAAACCAGTCAGTCTAAACTTCAGCACTTCATCCAAATTAAAAGAGCTTATGGTTCAATTTGTGATTTTAAGGAATATCGCACTATTTTCAGAAGAATATGCAAAACCTTAGGTGATATTGTTTAACCTTTCAAATTAACCGTAATCCATATTGCATTATTCAAAATTTTTCCTTAATTTAAATCAGATGGCTGTATGGAAATCTGTCCCTGCCTTGGCAGCTGGAAATGCATTCATTTTTAAACCATCCTCTTTAACTCCATTGACAGCTGTTCGTTTATATGAATTGTATAAAATGGCTGGATGCCCTGAAAATCTGTTTCAAATTGTCCTTGGAGGTGCTGAACTTGGACAAACGCTTATCAATCACCCTTTGGTTTCAAAAGTATCTTTTACAGGTTGTGTAACTGTTATATTACTATTTATTATTATTATTGCTGTTTCTTTGAGTTTTGAGTGGAACATAGGGCCTCAGGAGCATGTCTCCATTTAATCCTCTCCTCTGCAGTTTTTTGTAGCTGGCTTTACGATTGCTCATAACCCTTCGTCTCCCCCGAAATCACCCTCGGATACCCGACTCGTTGTTTCCCATTGCGGGTCCCACTTTAGAGCCTGCTGAGCGCGTGATGTCACTCAGCTGTTTCCTCAGTGTGTATTCTATCCATCTCCATTTCCATCTGAATATTTGTTACACGGTAGGTCCTTGGACAGTTCATTCCAGAATTCCTTGGTGCTAATCTTTTAGGGTCATCTAATCTTCAGTATGGAGAGAAGGAGGCTATTGATGAAAGTCGAAAGCCTTTTTGGGCATGCTTTTAGTGACACATGCATCAAGTCTCTGAACCATATAGAATCACTGATTTGACATTCGTATGGAAAATCTGGATGTTGTTCTTTATGCTCAGTACAACAGATTTCCACACTGATTGACTTCAGAGTAATGGAGGTGTGTCTGGCTTTCCTGATCCTTGCTTTGAATCCTGTAGTTGAAACGATTTTGCCTAAGATTATTATTATTACTATTTTGATCCTTTGCGCCCCCAGTGGGTCATAGAGCTTCAACCTTGATCTGTGAAGTCTCATTAGTAATGGTGTTTTTGTATGGGATGGGGTTGGTAGGCTCACTCACAACCCCCCCCCTCTGTTTACCAGGATTGCTACTGGCTAAGCAAGGTGTAGGAATGTATCAATCGGGATTCCAACTCTGCACCACTTGCCTGGTTGACGCACAAAACCGTCCAAATTATAAGTATTCAGATCGTAGATGTTACGGACTTCTTGGAATAATTTGAGCGCCGAATCAGACTGAATTATTATAAATTATTTAAAATAATTCCAGCGTGTTTAAGAAAAAAATTAAAACAAGATTCTTTTGAACGTTTCGCTGTGTAAGCCACAGCAGAATTATTCGGATTGTATTAGTCATCAAAATAAATAGTCAAAAAATTACGTAAATTGAAGTGAACCCCTTTGAAATTCGCTTGTCGGTTGACATTTGTACCAACAGAAAACTGTAAAGTCATTACATATCTGCAATGACTAATGTCTGATTGTTATTTATGCATATTTGTCGGTATGAGTGTGTGTGCATGTAGTTTGTTAAATGCAAAACACGTCAAACATGATAATATTTCACAGTGGTCACAATGTAGGATTGAATACTTCTTTATTTTCTCTCATCTGTTTCGCTACCATATAGGTGATAAGTCTATCCCTTCTCTCCTGTTTACTGCATTCGATGTGGTTAGAATATGCAAGGCTTCAGAGGTCAGCCTTTTTCCATGTGAATGAAAGCCTCTTCCTAGAATTCCGGCATTGTCAAAATCGAACTTATTTCTGCTGCCTATATCACGCATTGGTATAGTTGGTTTTTTTTCAGGACTCTAATTCTACTTCATCTCTAGGTGGACGTTTCGCGTACAGCCTGTGTTCATTCACTCCGACCCTCACCTGTCTACTGCTCTCCTCTGTATAGCAAGCTCCACATTCTGAACACATTATCTTATCGACACAATTGTTTTCTGTCATTTTGGGAACCATATCCTTGACATTCACCAAAGCTTTCTCTAGAGAATTAGATGGCTTGAAATAGACTTTAATATTATATACAGCAAGTACTCTTTGAAGGTGTTCAGGTGTCATTTGATTTGGAATGGCTATCGTCGATAGCCAAGATTTTTCAATTTTCTGTTTTCCCTTCTGATCTTTTTTATTGATAATATTATCTAACAGCTTTTTTCGGATAACCATTTTCAATCAAAATTTGTTTTATATTGGACATCTTGTCCTCAGTATTATCATTATTTGCTATAATGTTTCTAGCTCTGTGGACGAGATTTAAAGCTACTGAGACTTTCATTCTTATTGGATAATCTTATTGGAAATTCAAATATTTGTTTCAATGTGTTTGTTTCTTGTATATCGCAAACTGTAGTTTTTCGTTAGTTTGTCTTTTTACAAGACAATCCAGAAAGTTTAGAGTTCCCTCGTCCGATTCTATTTCTTTAGTTAACTTTATATATTTTGAGATAAGACATAAGCTAGCACTCAACTGTTTGTTATAGTGAGTAGATTGTTGTCAATACATTTTATATAATCAAGAAGTCTCTTGCCTAACATCATTTCGGAATCTGATCCCCTATCACTGTAACAGTTATTTTCGGTTCTCAATTCTTACAAGAACAGTGGAAAAATGATATTTGTATTATAAAAGTCCATCACACCATTAATGTAAATTTGTAAATTGCTACAGTACTAAATGTGTAGTAATAAGATTGCTGATTTTCATTTTCGTCAGGCATTCGTGTGTTTGCTGGACTATGCTCATCACCTAACATTTCTTTCACCTTCATATGGTATTCAGAATAAATTTGTACTTTTATTTTCTGAGTTCAGTGTGACAGAGGATTTCACTACCTTCATTCTTTCTTCACAACATTTATTGGCGGCTTGACCTACGAATGACGAAATCGTATCCATTCATCTCTTACTCACAGTACATACATATACGTCCCGGACTTTATGCATTGTGCAAAAAAAACGATGAATAATTGAGCTATTGATACTATTTGATCTCCTCAGGCCATGTTATGCATAAGCCACCAAATGTAGTCTTTACATAAACAGGTGAATACTAATAATTCGTTTCATCTTTACAAGCAGGGAACGTTGCTATTCAAAGGCTCACATTGTATATATTTCTTTAATCATCGATTTTCTGGTTAAAATATGAGTATTTCATCTTTTTCCCCCCATTAAATCTAGTCATGTTTAAAAAATTGTTTTTAGGTAGTACTGCAGCTGGTCGTTGTATTCTTCAAGCTACTGCAAATCGAATTGTACCAAGCACAGTTGAACTTGGCGGAAAATCACCTTTGATTATAATGCCAGATGCTGATTTAGATGAAGCTGTTAAAGGCGCTTTAATGGCTAATTTCTATAGTCAAGGACAGGTGTGTTCAAATGCTGCTCGTGTCTTTGTTCATCAGTGAGTGAGACAAGCAATAGTTTGTTTGTTTTTACAAAAAAACTTCTAATATGATGTTAAACTTTGAAATTTCAAGGGAACTAAACTTTATTGAATTAAACCGGTTTTGATTCATTTAATTTATTTTATTATAGCTTGACTCCACACAGTATTTTGGTGCAAACATGGAATTTTCAGCAAGTGATATCGGTAGCCCAAATTTATCAGGCCAACCATTGATATCATGTCTGCATCGGCCGGGGATCGAACCCCGGACCATATGCATGGTCGGCGAGAGTCCTAACAGCTGTACCACCTACACACACGATAATAGTTCAACTCAGATACGGCTATCTTATGGTGGTGCTGGGGGTGGTGGTTGATTTATATCACAGTCTGAAAAAGGTTATTTACAAAAATCTATTTTCGGTCAATATATAGATTGATGACACACCGTTCCTTGTACGATACTTTTTAAAACAGATTACTCGAAAGTGTTCCCATCGAACTGACAGTTACTTGCATATATTTCGAATTCAATAATTAGTAGAACGTATATGAAAGGGATCGGAACTGTTATTCAAGCACTCTACTTACTATAAAACTGTAGTTCATAAATCATCCAACAGATCGTTAATTTCATACATTTATTCCCCTTAATGAATTTGAAGAAAGCAAGAACTACAGTTTTTGCAGAATAAATTGGTACCATCTTTTATTTCGTTGCCTTCTCGTCAGCTGCTTACAGGCCAACGACATTATTAAATATATCTAGAAAAACAATTTTAACATACTTGCACAGAGTTCATTTTAAACAAAAATCAATCGATCAGTATACGCATACACTAATAATATATACATATATATGCAATATTGAACACTATTCCGAACAATAATAATCATACACAATGAAAACTTTTCAGCATTTCGCAATCGGATGAAAAATATCCAGTTACCAGGGCAAAGAAAGACTGATAACCGCTTCTTTCTGAACCCACAAATCAGGTTTCAGGCGCTTGATCGAAATGGCTTCAGCAAACTTAAGGAGAATTGAACTATTTTGCCTATTGATAATTTTGAACGACTTTTCGACGTTCACCTCATGACCCGTGTCGAGGAGATGCTTGGCGATGGCACTGTTTAATTGTTCAAAGTTTTGAGTGAATCTAATCGAATAAAATGTTACATACCTGCAACACTGCGATTTGCGATAGTTCCTGAAGTTTGTGTTTATATCTTTTCCTAAGAAGCATTATCGACATATATGTAGAAGGTAATATTTCAAGTTTTACTTCCAACTGAAGTTGTTATTAGTGGAATTTGAAGACTCTTGCAACATCATACGAGCTAGATGGTTCACAGAGAACTATATATATAAAGTGTAAGTGAAATTTTCTGCTAGTACAGCTTATTCCTTATTCATCTCACTGACTAGTCAGAACATATTTGGATTATAATATTGGCTGGTTTTACAGTAAATCGTTAAGTTCCTACCTTCGGATGAATTTGTTATACCGTGGAGCCTCATTGAACAAATTTATTGACCTCAGTTTACAAATATCCCCTCAGTACAGTAAACAAAAATGCGGGAATTTCTCTGTATTACGCATTTACATCCTTCCCTTACCGTTCTACACTAACTTAGACTTTTTTTATGAACTAACCTCAGCTAAAACACCATGGGGAATCAATCACTAGACTATTCTTATCTCCTGTTTTCAGTAGTATATACCGATAATCTTGTCACAGATCTAACTTTCGAGTTATGTTGTATGTTACCACCATTTCGGCATTGTGACTTCTCATTTTACCTGCAATTTAAATCATTGGCTAATGAATGGAAGTTGAATAGTCGTTCACCACAGTACTTTAATTAATTTTGATGTATAAGGGGCGCGTCTTAGATTAACTATTTCTCTTATGTTTGAATATATAATAACTTAATGGATAAAACCGTCGGGTTCTTATTGTTTATTTTACAGGTCGATTATGGCATCATTTACACAAAAACTTGAAGCAACAGTTAAGAATATGTTGGTTGGTGATCCATTTGATCCATGCACTTCAATGGGTGCTTTGATTAGTCCCCAGCATAGAGAATCAGTTTGCAATTATATACAATCAGCTGTTTCTGAAGGAGCCAATCTTTTGATTGGCGGTGAAAAGCCAAAATTCGACGGTGATAATAATGATTTAAATGGTGGTAATTATCTGACACCGTGTATCCTTACTAACTGTCATGATGATATGAAAGCTGTAAAAGAAGAAATATTTGGTCCAGTATTAACATTGTTATCATTTGATACAGAGGATGAAGTGATAGAACGTTCAAATAAAAGGTTTGTATTCGTTAAGTAGACATTTATTTTCTTTTGGTAGGTCAACTATTACTTTAAGAATCAAGTGACTCTGTGAATATTGACAATAAAATAATTGGTTGGAGAATTTCATCATGAGTTGACATCAGTTAGAGAACCATTGAAATACCATCGGGGAGTTCTATAAAATTGTCTCGTCCTAGTTTGGTGCTCTTCAGAAGTACGCACCCACCGCCATTTTTCGAACTCGAAACCTTCTGGTTACAAGGCGAGCTCGTAAACCATTCAGCTACTAGAACCCGATTCAATGGTTCATGAATTGCAACTTTTGCCAATTCACGGCTCGCCTTATAACTAGAAGGTCCTGGGTTCAAACCCCGGCATGTGCGCACTGATGAAGAGTCCCAAACTAGGACGAAACAGTTGTCCAGTACTCCCGGGTTTCCCAATGGTTCTCTAACTGATATCACCTCATGATGAAATCCTCCGACCAATCAAACAAAATCCCTACAAACCAATATCTGAAAATCAATAATTGTCGCCGTAGATAAGGCCAGGTTAAGTCTCAGAAAAAAGCTACAACATTTTGTACATTATTATTACTGACTTTCACAGCTTGAATTCCAGTGAGAATATTTTTGTATAATTTTACAATGAGTTGAGATTCAATTCTTCTCTGATAAAGTACAATTTGCAAACTAACTGGAAATGACTACATTGATCTGTTCACCTCAACCAGAATATATACCGCTCAATCTAATGTTCTACGGTATTTCACTCCAGGTCCCGGAATGAAAACGCAGTAGGAAGTGATAGGATGGGGTGTCCAAGGCTGACATAGAAAAGATTATATGAGGTGGACATAGAAGTTTGTAGGAAGTCATGGAGCCAGCTGAAAATAATAATAATACTAGGAGAAGATCGAGTGGAATGGAGATGTGTTGTTGTATGATAATAATAATTTCATAAGCTTATTTTGACTATATTTCAGTGCAAATCTTGAGTCTTTTGTTTTACGCCAATTTTATTCACTCACTAGTACATTGATATTCCGGATACTCTTGTCGTTAAGAAATCGTAACAAGTTGAATACATTGAATGTAGATTGTTTCAGTCAGTTATTTTGTGTTGTTTCATTGAGAGGAGGTCGTTTTTTTTTCTTCCTTTAAGTTCCCAGTGGAACATAGGGCTTCAGGCTTGAAGTTTCGGTAGTAGTGGCGTTTACCTTTACGGGATAGGGGTGCTAGCCTCATGCCGAACCTCGCTCTTTACCAGTCTTATTACTGGCGTAGCGAGGTAAAGGAGTGCGTCGGCCGGGGATCGAACCCCGTACCATATGCGTGGCCGGCGGGCATCCTACCACTGTGCCACCGAGGCAATTTGACGGGAGGTACAAGATAAATATGGAATAATAAGCTTTATTTATCGAAGCTTAATATTTGATTGTAACTTTTCTTTTAACACTATTTACTAATGATTTTCGTTGAACTTTCTATACTTCTAGTGAATTCGGTTTGGCTGGTGGTGTATTCACACAAAATCTAACCACTGCACATCGTATAGCATCACAATTACAGTGTGGTTCAGTGTATATTAACAGTTTTAATGTTTATCCACCAGGTATTCCATTCGGTGGTTATAAAGCATCTGGATTTGGTCGAGAGAATTCATTTGACACATTACTCGCTTATAGTCAATTGAAATCAGTGTATGTTGAAGGTGGATCACTACCCGATCCATTTCCTTTGACGCTTAAATAAATAGTTAAAGTGTGATCAAATGTATTATCGATATATTTACGCATTGTTGACTTCAGATTCTAGTCATTATTATTATATTTTTTTTGTTTTGTTTTAATAACATTCTATTTATTATTTCAGTTGATTTCAAATTTTGAATAAACACTTAATATTATTTTGACACAAAGGTTGTGTAACTGTTTTCCTTAAAAATTATAAGTAATTCTCATGTATTAATGAGATGTAGACATGCTCTTGCAAAACTTTGAAATTTTACTTTCCAATACACTTAGTATGGCTATAGTTGATATTATTTTGCTGGCAGACAAGAGGTTTTTTGGTCTACATTGATATAACACTGTCGATGAAGCGGTAAAATATACTTATTATTATTATTGTTTCCTTTAATTCCTAGAGGAACATAGGGCTTCAGCCGTGCGTCTCCATTGCGTTCTGTTCTCTGCTAGAGTCTTCACCTGGCTCCAAGTCTGCCCACACGTTTTCATCTCCTCTTCACATAACCTCCTCCAAGTCACCCTTGCACTGACGACCAACTCGCCGCTTCCCTTTCGGGTTCCACTCGAACGATGGGCTGGCGTGTGATGTCATTTGATGGTTTCTTCAGAGTATGGTCAATCCATCTCCATTTTTTCCTGCCTATTTGTTTCACAATCGGTTCCTGGTTGGTTCGCTCATTGCCAGAGATCTTTGTTGCTGATCTTTTCTGGCCATCTAATCTTGAGTATTGAGCTACTGCTTAAATAAGAAATTAGATGTTTACTGAGGAAGAAATTTTGTATCATGGGATCCGTAAAAAATCACAAATCCAAGTGTTACTTGTTAACACACACACGCCTTGAGGAAAGGTTGTTATTAGCCCAGAGTAAAGAAATATATAAATACACTATTGACAGTATACTCTGCTGTAGAAGTGCGTAAACACAGTATGCGCAAGTCTTTCGTGTAATTCTCTGTGATCATATAAAAACATGCAAGACTAAGTAATATGATGGTTCGATGTTCATCATTTTGGAGAAAACAACATGCTTTTCGACTGCAAAATCTGCACAATCCTCCTGCTAAGACCTATAGAGTTTGGTACATTGTATAAGCATTTTCCAACAGTGAATGAAAAATTTCAGGAAGGATTTAAATGGTTGTGTTACGAAAAGGATTAAAATTACCACTCGCCAAGAAATATAGTGAGATTTCAACCTTGTTAAGTGGCGCTCTCAGGGATTATTATGTAATATATCGTAGCCAATAAATAGGGAATTTCTTTCCTAGAATCTCCTGGAAATGTCCATTGATTCTACGAATAAATATTATCTTTATATAGTTCTCTTCAACCTATCCTAAAGTGGCTCTACTCCTGCATACACTATGTAGACAATCAATAAAGGGTATGGTGGGTTATCTAACTTCTTTAGTAACTTCAGTATTATTGATTTCACAGTCGAATATATACGCTTTAACGGATATGAAGAACATATGGTGCTGCTTTCGGTTTGAAATATTCCAACAATTTTCAGGAATGCCTATCGCTATACAGTATCTTCTAGCATAAAGAATTATTCGCTTGGTAGCTTTTGAAATCAATGTAAACTTTAAAATAATAGTGAAATTCTCTGGTATACCGAATTGAAAAAATGCCGCTGAATCAAGTTCACTTTTGAAATTTAACTACAATATGGGAAGATTCAAGAGTCTGAACGGAGTTAAGATGCGTAACTAACTTGCTTCTACATCTTTATCTTTGAGAGTCATGGCAAACTTACCGATAAATAGAAGTTCCCAACTGACTTGAAACTAAATTACAATTTTTCCTTGAATGGGCAGTCCTAATTATCACCTTTACTTAGTGACGCACCACACAACCAATATCTTGGCTCTTAAATGTCATAACTACGCTTGAACGATTATTTATGTTTAAAAATGTCACTAGCACTAAATTTTTAATTTGAAACCAGTCCGCTTGAGATGATACTTATTCCTGCTTACTTGGGTTGATTTTTACCATTAAAAGAAGGTATTTAAGACAACTGAGAAATGCCGATCTTTTGTTTTATAACGTTATTGCTTAACACCTGCTTTTAAATATTGTTATAGTAATTGAAGAATATTGCTTTCTTAAAAACATGTTACAGCAGTCAGTCACTGTCACAGTTCTTGATTGATGTCACATACCTACCTACCACCTGGTTATACAAATCTTTAGTTTAGTGGGGTTAACACGTTTGAGCATGTGTTCAGCTACTTACAAGTAATAAGTAGCTCATCAAATCAGGTCTATGTAGTTTGGTAAAAAATTATTCCACAAACTCTAAATAATACTGCGTTTTTCGACTCTAAATATGAGTAGCCTGAGTTTACTTCTTATAGTAGACTTTATATTTCCCTCAAAAGTCATGATGTATTTTGCATTGTAGTATTATACAAAAGGCATCAATCTGTGGATATTTGACGGTAGAAGACGAGAGACTTGGTAAAGGAATGTTTATTTGCGATTTGGTATCTCTATATTGCGAAATTATGTACACCTTATTTCCAAATCGTCATTTGCACAGATCTTCCGTGTTGTTTGCTACTTCTGCCCTTCGTATTGTGCTTCTTTGTCTTCTTTCCGTGTCCTCCCATGCTTTGCCGCAACACTGGTTCATTTGCTCTCTTTGACGGCAAGTTTATCTCCGCTATTTTTTATATCGATGAACGTCTCTTTACATACTACTGACAAATCTTATCAGTAGCACACGCCACAGGTAACTTATAAATTCCTAACCATATTAGATAATAAATTCAGCATAAGCTGTAACATCTTTCCATTGTGGAATCAAAGGGGTTACAACTTGTCACTTTAAAAACAAGTTCACATAGAAGAACGATTTATTCGCGCGTAGGCTGTGAAAATAACAAAACTACCTTCATAAATAATATTTAAACTCAACCACTCCCTGACCTTCAACCTTACACACAAACCTGTTCATCATATTTTGACAGAACTCAGTGTTGTAAAATACGAACAGATCCGGATGTACGATTCCATGACATATAATTACGCATGACGATTACTAACAAACTGATCACCTGAGTATTGAATAATAACTGGTGATGTGCACATGACTCAATACTGTGCGATTCACCGTTCATTATTCAATCCATTAACTGTACATAACTGATAAATCCAAGTGAATGAACTCAATATAACGTAACCATTTCAGACAATCATTTAATACACTTGAATGTACAGTCAGTGTAATTAACTTAGGCAGGAATTAGATTTCAAAAGTTAATTTCCTTATGAACCAATTTTAGTTAGAAGGACCATCATACGAAAACAGGGTGGACTTGACAACTTTTTCACCTGTGTACTAAACTGTTCGACACTACTCTTGCGATCTTCACGCGGCTTCAATGTAGTGGCACATAATTCTCAACTGCTGTCTATCTGTTACCTCAGTACCAATAAGTGTTATCGATAAGTATTCTTCTGCCAGGTCTTAACTACCCACCTCATATAATCTGAATGTCCTTGGACCTTTCAGAATATCATGCGCAGACAAACGAGATGTCCAGAGTCCTTCAGTTCATGAGAGAATATCAACATTCTATCCAATTAAATCGTGAGGAATGTGATTTAACATATTGTAAGTCCAACAGCTCACTAAGTATTTCTTCCTTCAGTATTCCCGAAAATTGCAGTCGCTTCCGACTAAGATGTGTTTAAATGAATGAAAAGAAAAACAGATTTTCATTAGGCACTCAATTCTTTAGATACCATCAGACAGCAGGTCAAATTTTCAAATGTTTTCTTAATAATATACATTGTAGAAGGTTTATTATTATAGCTTCATTCCATATAGTATTTTGGTACAACTATGGAATCCTTAGCATTTGATATCGGTAGGTTAAATTAAGCAGGTCAACCATTGATATCAGTTGTGTGTCGACCTGGGATCGAGTCCCGGACCTTGTGCATTGTCGGCGAGCGTCCTGACCGCTGTGCTACCGACGCTGTTCATTTGCTTCAAAAGACATTGTATGATGGATTGCAAGTTGTAAATGACGACAGCAGAGTGGAATCTAAGGAATGTTTATTTACACGCCTTTCTGCTATGATGACGAAAGAGATATGAAATGAACTAGCCGTCACTAGTTTGTAAAGCATTCATCTTAGAATCAATAAATGAGCGAACTAAACACTTCATAAATCGATTAATGACTTGAAGATATTTTTAATGTCAACGTTACTCACTTTGTACATAAATCAATGTCCAGTCCGAAGTACTGGTCAAAATCTATCAATCCAACAGATAGCTCATTAATTTAGTGGTGAAATCGTCTAATTTGAAGTTAAGTGATGACGAACTCCGCATTTCACTTCTTAGATGTGATGCTTGATAGAAGGGAAGACGGCATGTTAAAAAGGTTGATCTACCGGAAGACAACATTCACAGGTCAGTATACTAACTTCAACAGTTGGGTACCTCTAAGCAGGAAGAGAAATCTTATCCGTTCTCAATGCTCCAGAATTCGGAAAATTTGCTGTGTAGATACGATCGACTTAGAATTAGAAAGCCTTTGTACAACTCTCTTAAATAATGGATATCCTAGAAGGTTTATCGACAGAAACATCAAGAAAGAAACCGTTCCCAGCCAAATCACAGTGCCGAAGAAGACACTGTTTATGAGTTTGGCTTTCAAAGGTGACAGTATTTCTGAAGTAATTAAAAGTCGTTTATCTAAATGTATTAAACGGTGTATTTATGCAGCCGACTTAAATTTAGTATTTGCCAGCTGAAACAGGATTCGACAATGCGTCAAGAATACACTACCGCTTATGTCCACCTCTGTGTGCATATACCCATTCACATGCTCGTGTGGAGCTGATTACATTGGACGTTGTAAGCGTCATCTCCGTAAACGCATAGCTGAACACTACTCGGTTTGGCTGATGAAAGGAAAACAAAGTCTTCAGTCTGTCAACGCTTTCTAGAGTCAGGTCATTCAGCCCCACGTGATTTATCCTTTAAAGCTATCTACAGGACCAAATCCAATCACTCTAAAAGCTTACGTTTTCTCCGCTTATGCATAGCCGAAGCTATAGCTATACATGGACAAAAACCTAAATTATGTATTCAAAAACGTTTTGTCAAACCCCTTTCTCTACCATGGTCATGGTAATGTTCTTTTATTCTATTCTGTTCCACCACTTTCATTCATCTTCGCCGTCTTTACTGTTATCATCATCGTACTGTTAATTTTTTCGACAACACTTGATCTAAAAATTTAAAATCTTTATACCAGTTCAATTATTTAATGATCTTTAAAAGTTTTGTGATCCGCTTCAACTCTATCCACCCGCCTTAGTACATCATTTTAATTATCTTTATTCTTATCATATGTACAATATTGACTGAACAATTTCTAGTGCCACTTAATGCCCTTTTCCTTAATATAAATACAACTGTACAGTTTGAAAATGAAGTCGTTGAAAACAAATATTTCTTCGCTGAACAAAAAATTGTGTTATTTCCTTATGAATTAATGGGCACATTTCGCGATTGAAAAAAAAAACGCCTAAAATTTTTGATTCAAGAATTAAATTAGTCAAATGAAAAACCTTTAAAAAATGTTGACATATTAAACACATTGAGAGATGGTTTGATAGATAATAATAATACGATGATATGTTATCCGTGCATACTTGAGTATCTACAGATATTTTTTTATTGATTGAAATATCATCGTATTTACAGTGTAGTACAAATAGAGTGTTTTTGTTTTCCACAGACAGTAGTTAAAACGCATCACGCATAGTAAAAGGTGCAGATCCAGAAAGCGAAAAAAACACAACAGCAGCTTTCAAATACACACAGTTTCCTCAAAATATCTACAAATGAGAAAAATAGGATGTGAGTGTACAGTTAATTCCAATATAACTTTTGATTTTATTAATTAAACTGAGTCAACCATAAATATTTAAATAAGAATGAATATGTCAAATAAAGAGGAGCTATACACGTATTCTAAAAGTATTACTGCTCGAAGACAGGGGCGACTGGCATACTGAAGGTACCAAGATTTCTGCTCACGGAGTTCACAGGACAATGTCATCTGCATTCTTGAAGTACCCCGGTAACCAGTCAGTTGCTGAGTTCTTAAAGTCGACTAGAGTGACATGCATTCTTGATGGATGTCTCCGTTTTTCATCACATCAGATAACAACTCTTCATAAGCTCTTAAATGCCTATGTGTTCGATTAAAGTGCCTTGATTAATAGAATATCCTTTGGGAGTAACGACTTTATAACTGCTTATTTTCTATGTCCGACTAGTTTCAGGCATAGACCACAGTGTGTTCGGGGTCTAGACAGGTGCTCCAGGAGTAGCTGCAGTCCTATACATTGGACCCTCTCCATCTAGAGTTCGTAGGTAAGTGATCTATTTCAGTACATATACGAAATTCATATGAAGAATACGATACCATGTTAAATACAGTAGGATCTTATTCGGGTTATAGATGATTGCCTAATCAATATGTTTCTGTATTAATTACATCGACAATCGTGCCCATGAGGTTCACCAGAGCAAACTTGAAGGAATCTTTAGACAACAAAGTAATGAACTGAATAAATCCCCAATAAAGTCAATGTCGTTGGGTTTCAATTATTTTATCCTTTGAAAAACAGATAAATGCTCTTTAGAATGAAACTTAAATTGAATAAGTTTATTTAGATGAACCCTAATAGTAAAAGCCGCTACTGGTTAAAAAGTAAGCCTGCTGATAATTTCAGCCTACAGTGTCCACTACAATAACACATCTCTACAAACTTTGTTGAATGTGATAGGAGGCAGAATTATTCTTAAACAAAAAACATATTTGAATAAATTAATTTACTTAATCCGTTTTCACTTGCTTCCTTGACTTGTTAATAGCAGCTGCACGTTTAGCCTTCAGTTTTTGATCGACTTCTTGACGTTTAATTTCTTTGGCTAATTTGTATGAGCAGTAAGCACAAATTAGCATAAGAGGTGTAAGAATGATCATTGTTGAAGTAAGAAACTCCCAGGGATTTTTTGCAACATACAAAACAAACTAAAAATAATAATAACAAGATTAAAAACGACAGTTTAAAAATCAGGGAAGTGTGATAATACAAATAGTCTATAAGGCAGAAGTGTGCATGTGATTTAATATACCTCTATTGTTAGTTATATTGGAAATAATTAAACATATTAGTGGTTCGTTCAGTGCTAGAATATGCTTGCCAGCCATATACATGTTCCGGGTTCGATGCCCAACCGAGGCGTTCTTAAATCTTGCCTAGTTAGTCAAACGGTAGTAAAGCTAGAATGAAGTTACGGCTGGGAGTGAGGCCGGTTGGTCCCGCCACGTAATAACAACACCACAGCTACTATAACTCCAAAGCTTGAAACCGTATGTTCCCTTCAGAATGTAAAGAATGAGAGAAACATTCATCTTTTAGGATTTTCAATGGCGAAAAACCGCCTCACAGAGGATTACCAGTAAGCAAATTCCCTAGTCATTAATTTTATTATTAATAAATATCACCGTAATCAGTGTTTTCTTTTCAATAAGCTTCTAAACCTCATTGTTATCTGACGACATGATAGTATACATATTTACGGTCAAATAAGAATACTAATATCTGTAAAAAAACTATTTTTGCTTAATATCAGAAGTGTTTAACCACTAGAGATGTTTTGTAGTGTGCTTCACTTAGATCGAATGAAATATAATTCATGGAAATTAGCGCTATTATGATTTATTCGGTAATTTTAGACTACTTCATACACTTTCCAACCTTGAGCCATTCATACATTATTGTTTATTATTCCCTTGTGTCCTGAGTGGAACATAGTAGGGCTTCAAAAGTAAATCTGCATTTTGTTCTGTTTTCTACAGTCCTCTTTAGGCGGTCCCACAAACTCTCATCTCCTCTTTACACGATCCCCCCCCATGTGATCCTTGGACGTACGCCCAAATCGTCATTCCCCATCCCAGTTCCACTGGAGCGATGGCGTGGTGCGAAAGGACATTCAAGTCTGCTCAGTGTATGCGTGTGTGACTGATCTCCATTTAGTGGGGCATATTTGTTTAGCAATAGATTCTTGATTGGTTCGTTCCCATAGTTTGCTGTTGCTAAATATTTCTGCCCATTCGATCTTCAATATGGAGTGAAGACAGCTGTTGGTAAAGGTCTAAAGACTGTTGGAAATACTTTTCATGGCACTCCAAGTTTCTGACCAATAATCGAAGAACTGACTTAGTATTGGTGTTGAAAATTGAGCAACATGCAGAAATATAAAATTTCTTCACCTATGAGAGGTAATGGTAGCGATTCACCTCGAAGATGGCATACAATTCCTCTAAGAAGATGATGGACCGTAATTATTCTAATGTAAGAATGGTTGACCCCGAGAAAATAAATAATTCAGAAAAAAGCTCAGCAATTGCACTTCACGCATTAACACACAATTGGGTGGGAGAGAGTTAAAATTCCAAAAAGTAATCTATGTAGGTGGAGAGAGAGACTGATTACTGAATCCTGGTTCATCGAGTCTACACCCAACACATTCAACATAAATGACTCAATGCAAATACCAGAAATATGGAAGATATTAATAATTCTGAATGTACATTATCCTATATTAACTTTTATTCCATTATCTAATCGATTCCACACATGTATATAAATGAAGGAAAAAGTTGTGTGAGTAACTTGATATGATTATGAGAAATAGTTTGTGCTCGAAACGTTATCAGTGTGTGATTTATCAAAATAAAATCTTATCCAAAATATTCTTGTAGTTGTCAACATTTACGTACTAACACTCACCTTTAAGGCCATATATGAAAACCACCCTGACCAGTCCTCTGGAGGTTGACCCAAGTCAAGATTTTTCAAAGGATCGACACTATCTGCACCTGAAGGTTCTGGTGTTCGCTGATCCATCTAGAAAGCATCAGGAATTATGTTAAAGATCGGAGAGAACAAACAAATAAACAAAAAGTAACCATTCAACAACCAAATAGGCAAGAAGAATGTTTTTACAAAACTACCTAGCACACACTAACTGCAGTCTGATTGTTGGTTAAGTTTACTTTCGCTTATATACTGTGAATGAGCATTGAAAATTAGAATATTGGCGTCGTATAATGATTGCACGAATTTTACATAGCAATGGACTGGAAGTTATCTGGGAGAGTATTAATCAAACAAAAAATTCTACAATATCACATTTCACCATTCTTAGCTGGAAACAAATCATGAGGACTAAACGTTAGGGCCACTAATTCTTAAAGAAAACAACTATTTGCCCTGTCGATAAAAATTTTGTGTTTGATGACTTCTAACATCATTAATACTTCGAAAGAAGTGATTGAAAAAGCAACTTTTTTCGTACAAAGAATGATTACCACAAATCTTACGGGTGATCATATTTTAAACTTTTAATAGAACAACACAGAATTCAAAAGCAGAATGATTACTTTTACAGTCAAACTGAGGTTTATTTGAATTTATTATTCAAGTGTTGGTTTGCAGGAATTTTATTTGTTTGAGGATTTCATCATGAATTGACAGTAGTTAGAGGACCATTGGAAAACCTGGCAGTACTGGACAGTCAGCTGTTTCGTCCTAGTTTGTGACTCTTCAAAGTACGCAACCACTGAGGTTCGAACACAGGACCTTCTGGTTAAAAGGCCAGCTAGCTCGTAGACCATTAAGCCACCGGGACCCGACCCAATGACCAGTCCATGAATTCCAACATCTGACAATTCATCATGAAAATCCAAAAACCATTCAAATTCTCGCAAACCAACACTTGAATATCAGTCCGATGTTCACTAGTGACTGGCCCTATTCAGGTAGCTACTTGCCTGGGTTCTAGTGGGAAGTCGTGACCAGTGAGATACAGCAGGTCAAGAGTAAGGATAAATACTCGCCGATGACACCCGCTAGTGGTAGCACCATATCACGAATTGGCAGAATTTGGAATTCGTGGCCCATGGGATTGGACCCCAGTGGCTTAATGGTCTATGAGCTAGCTCGCCTTGTAAACAGGTCCTGGGTTCGAACCTCAGCGGATGCGTACTGTAAAACTAAGATGAAACAACTAGCTGTCCAGTACTCCCAGGTTTTCCAATGGTCCTCTAACCGATGTCAGTTTATTTGAATGTTAAATGGATGTTGTATGGGATTTTGAAGGATTTTTCACGGGATGTTCTGTTATCGAGCAATTAAACATACCTGCACTCCTTCAGTAAAACATACTTCGCTGCCAGCCCAAGAGAGAGTAACACTTTCTTGCAGTAAAATATTCGGCCAGAACATGAAAGACAAGTCATCGTGTTGGGCCATATTAACCTGTATATAACAGTTCACTTACTCCTATGAAGCTGAGTACATTGACCGTACTCTGGGTCTGTTTGTAAAAGGCTTTTGGCAACAATATGCAGGCTGGCCAGAAAAAAAGGAGAAGGCAGGTGTGCTTATAGCTCGGTAACACAATATCTGGTGAACATTAAACCTAGCAAACAAATATTCAAAAGTAAAGGTGACCGTAATAAGAGGAGTCTAGTTCTAACCATTTTTGATGTCAGAAAAACAACAATGGTGACCAGACACACGGTTCAATAGTTTAGAACATTCAGTCTAAGACCTGTGAATGATGTATTTACGCTTGATAAAATAGCTATGCTTGAAACAACTGGAAAAATATTAGAGAGAAAAGAACAAGAATTTCAGCAAAGTTATCTTTTCGACCATTTCATTCTCAAAAGCAGCTGCACATTCGCTTTTATATGCATAAGTCTACGTAGATACAACTATTATTTAATTCCACATAGCAATGAAGGAGATTAGTGGTGATAATAATTTTTAACTTGACATGAAAGTTTGAAGGTGTGAGAATATAGATTACAAATGGGCTTAGAGGCAAGATTACACAGGATTAGAAAATAGATTTTAACAACTAAAGGTGTGAATGGGATGAGTATGGAAACAAACTGAAATCATATTTTATGACTGAAAATGAGAAGAAAGAGGAAAAAAGAAAAGAAAATGAAGGGGATGAAAAAATGAGATCGAAAGAAAGATCCATGGTAAACGTAGAGGTTGGATTAGTTTCTTTTGAACATACAGCTCCGCCTTTTCGATGCATATGGCAAGGGCTTCTATGGTACAAAGAAGTTGGAAACACACTGCTTTTAATAGATTTTTGTTTTCTTTGTAAATGACTCTAAATGATGAGTCAGATGAGATGTTGTGACAGGTGTTGACGAGGTGTTCAACTATGGCACTCCAGACCGAACCAGTGCCTCCTCTTCTCAGCCATGCTGGTTAATGTTCTTTAATACGTTTTGATAGTACCCGCATAGAACGACCCATGTACCTAGCTCCACACGAGCAGTGAACTAATGTATGCACATTGAAGTGGTCATATGTCTTTCCTTCACATTGCTTCGAAGGAGTGGGCGGTTGGAGAATATCACTCTTAGAGTTGCTGTAGGAAAGGTCTTCTTTAGGAAAGAGGAGATTCTCCTCTTGAGGATATCTACTGCTAGGTCTCCCCTGAATTCCAGATACATATATAGTGTTTCCTTTGGCACTGAAGTGCATTCTTTTCATTTTGGCTTTGCCTTTACATGTCGGGTATCCATTTTGAGCCAATATATTTTTGAGAAATAGAAGCTCTTCTTCGAAGCAGTCACTGCTGCAAATTCTACTGATACGGTGGGGTCAGCGAGCTAATGAGTTTTTTTTCAACTGGCAGGTATTCAACCGTGAAAGTTTGTCAGTTGGCCATTCCATGATGGTTTTCAACAGAGTTGTAAGTTAAGTTAAAAAATTATTATTTCAGTGATAAAAAAATCATAACATAACAACTATTATCTCAACTTGTTTCCATGCTCATCCCGTTCAGACAAGTATTCACTAAAAAAATCAATTTTGCATACAACGCAACTATTTTCTAATCATGTGTAATCTTGTCTCTAAGCTTCTTGTAATCTATATTCACTACCTTCAAACTTTCATGTCAAGTTGAAAATTATTATCGCCACTAATCTCCTTCGTTACTATGTGGAATTAAATAGATAGTTGTATCTATGTCGACTTATGTATATAAATGCAAATGTGCATCTCTCTAATGTCCTGATGGGTATTTTCCACGATTAGAAAAATGTCAGCTCAACTCTACTCCTTATAAATGCATACTACAGAATAGATGAAAACAAAATCAACATAGCAATATTAAAACAATTACTACCATTGAAAGGAAATAACAATGAGAATGTTACTTGACCATACAAACGTATTTCAGTTACAAGGGTCAAACAACTAGACAAAATACACTACACACACACACACACTAATACGCATGCATACATACACTTGGGGAGATATGGGGTCAAGAAAACAATAACAAAAACCATCACTAGATAAGTTAATTATTTATTTACAAAAATCTACAAGTGTCATATAGAATATCAAACTGCGAACTCTATCAATGTCTGCGTGCAAGATGAAAAAATTTACTAGCTGCCAATTCATCTTCAGGTAGAAAAGTAGTTCGACCAAAATGTCCTTTATTGAATAGATCAAGAATATATGAAGCAGCACGTCGTATATCCGGTATCTTTATCTCTCGACTAGTACTATTATTTGAAGACAGTTCATCGATATGCTCAATTTCACGAGCTTGCCAACGTGGATTTTGAGTAATCAGAAAAAAATTATTCTTCATGCATGCATGGATTAACAATTCATTGACATCTGTTATTGGACCAGAGAGATCGAGACGAGTAATATACTCTGTTCGTTGACGATAATTCCACCAGAATAATAGATAGTCAACTAGTATTTCTAAAAGTGAGAAACAGATTTCTATTAAATATTACATACAGTATTATATTACATGATATAGTGTAAGTTATGCAAGAGACAGTTGAAGTGCACAGACAAAAACTGCATTGAAACAATTACCAATTAGCAAGTGTACATGGGAAGGATGTTAACTAATTTGTTCATGTTTTTATTTCTACGCTAACTGTTCGTAAATAACGGCTGTCGATCAAACGAGAAGTGTACTGCTCGGCAGTTCACTGTGAGACATAGCCATTGAAAGTGGAAGCCGTGAAAAGGCTAGTTGTTTTTGATTATAGGTGCCTGAGTTCTATCTCCCGTGTTAGGTGGCAAATAGGGTGAGTAGTACTGAGGTCAGGTGTCGAGTGCTAGGTAAGCAGGGGAAATTAATCGACGAAATTGTGAAGTGACACCGATTGAGATGGGTAAGCACATGTGTTATGTATGTCTAGCCATTGCCTCCCTCGACGGCCAATGTTAACTGACAAAGGATTGATCAGGTTGGAAAAAGCTAGTGGTGGTCAAACCAAAACATGGCATCAGTCAGTGTAATCCACAACAATTGGTTTAAGCTAGTCACGTAGGGATGTGTAGTTGGGCTCTTCCCGGTGATAAAAACCAGTGGCTGGAAACAGTCGGTGATATGGCTCAAAATTGTTCTCGGTAATGGCGCAGATGTATTCAATCTTTGGGATTTATCACTTCCAATAAAATTCTATTGTTCTTCCATATTACTATTCTTTTGGCCTAACACTTCTGTTTATTATCTCTCCGTTGAATCTCTCTTTACTTTCTTCTCTTGATTTGTGGGCTACATGGAGGGAGTTTGGCAACTCGAACTGCTGCACATCTGTACAAAGTTCTATGTTGAAACCGGTCAGTCAGTCAGTTCGTAAATAATCATTTCACAATACTCCAATAGAGTATAAGTAGGTAAAGCTGGCTAAAGAAAACAATTTGATGCAAACTTCTCGACGAATTGGGTGATTCAACACCGTTCACAGAGGATTAAACAATAAGTCTTACACATAGACTTAATATATACATAATAGCGTGATTCAATCAACGATATCTGAATGGCCTAGTGAAAACCTTCATTTTTCGTGTTATTCTATTAAATGTAACGGCTTAATAAACACTTGCATTCACAATAGGATATGTGTGCGTCGGTGGCACAGCAGTTAGGACGCTCGCCGACCATGCACATTGTCTAGGGCTCAGTCCCCGGCCGACACACTCCTTTACCTCCCAAAGCCAGAAATAAAGTTGGGCAGGAAGCTAGCACCACATCCTGTAAAAAAAAACCTGCAACATAAACTTCAAGCCTCTAGCTTGAAGCCCTATGTTCCACTGGGAACGTGAAGAAAAAAAAATAGGATATATGTAGGTAGACTACACTTACAACAAATATCGTCCACACTCTACACTGTTTTCTACTTCCCTGAAATTGGCCATCAGGATATTTTGAAATACATATAGTCTCCCTTTCCTTTTAAAATCTTGTATATACAATTAGATGAACATCAATAATACAAAGTACAAACCCAAAATTCACTATACGTATAGATAATGGTGATAAATATACTTTTACAGTGTAGACTATTTAACAATAACATTAAAAATACAATTGATACGGAATACTGGTAGAGTACTTAATCTCTGTAACAACGTCGTCAGTTGAAGAGTTTACTTCCGTACGAAATCACCGTAACAACTGTTATTTTCATTTTCCGAGCATCAAGAGACACTTCAGAGATTTCATACACTTGGTTCCCTTGATAAATTTCGATAGAGAAAGAAAGACCAGATTTGCAGTATAAAATGATATCATTCTATTTCACAGGTTCTCATCAGCTGCAAACTTCAGGGATTGTCTAACCCAAAAACGTAGAACTCTGCACAACACTGTATCACTACAAGTTACTGTGTATCGGAAAAGCACACATAACATTAAAAAATAAATGTAATGTGACTACCACAGACGCAGAGATAATCATTACATGAAAACTTGTAAAAATCTCAAGAATGCACAATGTGACAAGCAGTGGATGAATCTCCGTCGTTCTAAATGATATTCAACCTTCCTTTCTGAGAGTAAGGAAGCTTGATGTGGATGATGTTTTCCAAGAACCGTACAGCGGAGAACCACTAGAATGAAATCAGTGCGTGTCTATCTTATAGTTATCGTCGATTATCTTATAGACAAGGTATACAGATATTATTCAAGCCAAATTTCTTGCAAATAAGAGTGTTTTGATTAAGACATTATATATATATATATATATTCTGGCAGACAGCCAAATCAGTAAGTGTTATATCCGTGAGCCAAATATCAGTTTATTAAACTTCAGTTCTTATGTTTAGTTACAACTTGTATATGCAGCACATTTAACTATGAAGTCTTGCACAACACAAAACACCATGTAATTATGCTTTATAAATAAAATTAATCCAAAGTATTTCCTGAATGCTTTCAAGTTTTGGTTTGTAGGGATTTGATTGTCATAGTGTAACAGCAGAAGACAAGGGTCAGGCAACAGATCGTTTATTAAGGAAAATCAACACATATTTATAGATTTTAATGTACATTATTGTAGATTACTGCTAGTAGAAAATACAGTCTTTTGATTGGTTGTTTCTCACAGAAAGTTAACCTTACATCTCTTTGTGGCTGTGTCAGATCATCCATATGCTAACTGTATCCGCCTACGCAAAGCCTTTGTTCTCATTTTCTCACCACTAATATTGGGGACATAAAGACTGACGTCAATTGCTGTCTACCAACTTTGGCTAGCAGCCAGCTCTCACCACAATAGGATCCCGCATAAAGTAGTATATGATCACCTCTCACGCATGTTGTGATTAATTATGCTGTGGGGCCGACTTTATTGTTGTGAAGAAAACTATAAATACCACGTGTTGTCTTCCTAACAGTTGCTGTTGTTGCGATTACAATATACAGTCACAGGCCAGCCTTTGTTTTTTTATATTTGCGTGGCTTAGTGAATCGGAAGGTACCACAGACAGACAGACATATTAGGCAGGCGCAGACAGAACAAAGTGACTACAGTTCTCATTTCAGTTCACTGAAGTTATAACAGATTGATTTTAAGACTGATCATGAAATGGCGGAACCGGCAGAAGTTAGAATTTATGGGCGATCCATCGGATTCCGTCCCAGTGGCTCAATGCTATACGAGCCCACCTTGTAACCTGAAGGTCCTGGGTTCGACATTTGGTGGGGTCATGGATGCGTAGTGCTGAAGAGTACCACACAAGGGCGAAACAGCTGTTTATTACTCCCTGAATTTTAATGGTTCTCTAACTGAAGTCGGTTTGTGATCAGTCTTGAAATTTCCTGAATAAATTGGACTGTGATAGCATTACCATTCTACTCAATAACCTTAAGTTTAATCGAGATAAAAGTAAAAGCTTTGTCTAACTGACAAATAAACAAAAACAAAATAACTTATGAATTTTTTCTACCGTAAGTGAAAAAGAAGACTTGCCTTGCTGAACGGAATGTAGATTAACAGCTCCACAAACACAAAGACTTAATCGTTCAGCTAAAGTTTGAGCACGAGGTTCCAAAATACCAGGGGTATCAAAAACTTGAATTCTGTAATCATCAGAGCTGTTCATTTGATAGTCCGTTTCATCCAGCATATTGTTTAGTTTTCCCCTGCACAAGATAATTGGTTGGCCAACAGAACGAGTTTGACCTGCATTACGACCAACTCTTGTTGCACCCCCAGGACCTCCACGTCCAATTCCGCGTAAAGCATTAATCAATGTACTTTTTCCACTATTCGGTATACCCACAACCATTAGAGTTATAGTAGAATTAACAATATTTCCTGCACTGGCAGCCAAATGAGGTAGACTGTAAATTTTAAAAAGAATATGCAAATTGAACAGGGTTAAAATTAAAGAAATACTAGTAACTTTCACACAAATCATGTAATTCTAACATGATAGGTAGCTTACCAACCTAGACATTATTCTTTTCAGAGTTCGTTTTTGCTTTTCTGGCGCATTTAGTTGAGTATAGTACACTTCAATTGGACTTCGGTTGACAATCTTTGATGCTTCTAGGATCCGAGCCTTGTATGCCTCTCGATCAGTAACTTTTTCCGCCAGATCAACTTTATTCAGAAGTAAAATAGTAGGCCTTGTCTACAAAATCAATACAGTAAGATTAAAGTTAAAAGTCACAGAACATAAATAGATGAGTACACAGCTAACAGAAAATGTTTGTTTCTAAAGCAATACATGAGTATTCAAGCAAATCCAAACTAGGTATCTTATAAAAATATTAGAAAAGTAAAGTCTATAAGAATAAGACCAATAAGTATTTGAAATCAAACGAAGGCTGTTTAATGTTAATGTTCTCAACGCATGACACGCCCTCCATCTAAATTAGTACCAAGAAACAATGTTTTCTGAAATTGTCATTTCTACATTCAAAACAACAGATGGCAGAGATACAACAACAGATAAGAAATAATAAGATTATCTTAGATCAATGGCTAGGGAGATGTTTACGAAATGAGTAATTTTTGAATAACCAACCAAACAACAAATGAAAGTGTCGCATGTTGCTAGTGACGTTACACAACGCAGTTTTGAACACATCTTCGATACGATTGAAAGAAAGTCCGTTTATAAACATCTGAAAATCTTAGAATCCTTTTGCAGACATTTAAATCAAGAAGTGAAGAGCCAGCAAGTAGAGCAGTTGCATTAGTAGAAGGAAGGCAAGATAATAGAGATGAAGATGAAGACAAAGATGAGTGAGGATTATAGAGGTTTCGCGTGCACTTCGGATTGTGAGGGCGATTGTTACTTCCCGGCTGCCCACACCGTGGAAGTTGGTTGCGTGACCGCAGAGCCCAGGGGACAACTGCTTGAGGCCGGTCACACACGGCCTGTTTTTGTTTGTTGTTTTTAATTTGGTGTGTCTCAGTAGCACATTTATCACTTCTGCCCTGTGACACGGCAGCAGGAAGCGCGGTCGTTGTTAATCCGGGCCCCGACCGATCCGGCATGATATTTTGTGATTTATTTTGAGTCATAGGACTGGGTTGGGTAACTGCTTTTTGTCTAACCGCTATCCAAACAACCTTTCTGGCATGGTAGGACCTCAAGCGACATAAGTCTCAGCCAGTATAGCTTGTTGGGTCATTGCGGTATTCAAGCCCAACCACCACGTCAAGGTAGCAGCTATCGGTCGGGCACATTTAAATCATATTCAAATTTAATAGTTTGAAATGATTTTGGCAATGAGTGAAAGGTATTTGGTATTTTAAAGCTGAAATTTCCCGTAAATTAAAAGTCTCCTCTATTTTTTATCCGATGGGAAATAAACAAGTCAAATGACAAGTAACTTCTTGTTAACAAACTAGTCATCATATAAGATCTTACTTTAACCAACTGAAATGGAGCATCAATAACTAAAAGCCTAAAAGCCTTCAGAAGCTGGATTTCCGATGGCCTGCGTTTCAAAGCACTGATTAGAATCAGTGATTTGAATATTAACACTAACTTTTCTGACTTCGAGCACCTAGTCAGAGTCTTCTGAATAGTATATGAAAATTTTTCATAATGGCAGAGATGTATTCAATCTTCATCATCTCCTAGTTTTTGAGCACCAACAATTTTTATCTAATCATTATCTTTACTTATGGCTACCTATAATAGTATGATTCTCATAAATTTCCTTTAATGTGTGCTAATTTGAAGTATAGCACTTAATACCAGAGCACTTTTGTGAATCCCTCTAAATTAGTGTGTCCCCATTGTTTAATTAAAAAGAAGAATAATATGAGAGGTTTATATCGATATAAACTCTAAAAGTAACACCACAGCTGATCTAGTCAGCACATCTTGTAGACGCCCAAAACCTTTAGATCAAAGAAATAGTTAAACTTTTCGTCCATCAGATGACTAAATCTCATCGTAGGACTTTGCTCAAAAGTGAAGCAGTTTAAGTTGCAATAATCCATATAGCACAAAAAGCAGAGAGAAAAAAAGTCCAAAAAGTACCATAATGGACAGATATGTAGGAGGAAGAAAAATTACATTGAGAACCGTGAGCATCTCATGAATCTGGGAGATTATAAAGGGTGAAAATACCTGTGCCACTGTAAAACAACTTTGAGCCATATCACCAAGTATCCAGTATAGCATACCAAGGTCCCCACTGAAGCGGTTTACACATTCTTAAAGTGGCTCAAAGTGGCTCTTTAACTTTGCCATCGATGACATTCTGGAGTCAGCTCTGAAGGATGTGCGTGAAGGTGGTGTAGATCTGCTACCTGGAGATAGACTTTTCGACCTCGAGTAGGCAGATGATATCGTCTTATTGTGCGATAGCATGCAGGCTGCCCAAATCGCACTTAATCAATTGGCGATCAGTGTCTGTAAGTATGGTATGTGCTTTGCGCCATTTAAGTGCAAAGTACTGTTACAAGATTGGCAAGAGCCTGTACCTGCACTCACTCTTGCGGGTGAACCGCTTGAAGTTGTCGATAAGTTTGTGTACCTAGGTAGTTGTGTGAGTGCTGGCGGAGGGGTGACGGATGAGATTTCCAACCGTATAATGAAAGCTAGGGTGACATACATCAACTTGAGCCACCTCTGGCGCCGTCGCGACGTTAGCCTGGCTGTCAAAGGTCGGGTATACAATGCTTCGGTGCGGGCTGCGCTGCTCTACGCCTGTGAAACCTGGCCTCTCCGAGCTGAGGATGTGAGGCGACTCTGCGTGTTCGATCACCGCTGTCTCCACAGGATTGCTTGCGTTCGATGGCATCATCGCGTGAGTAATTCTGAGGTTCGGCGGCGTGTGTTTGAACACAGTGGAGATCACCATTCATTGAATGTCGTCATCTGGAAACACCGGCTCCGGTGGCTTGGACATGTGCTGCGAATGTCACCCCAGAGGCTTCCGTACAGGTCTCTGTTCGCTAGCCCTGGGACGGGATGGAAAAGGCGGAGAGGTGGTCAGCCCATGACGTGGCGTCGTGGGATGAAGGATTTCTGTGCTAGATTAGCATCGGTTGGTGTGTCACGACTCCCTGGTTGCGGTCTGAGAGATAGCTCAAATCGATGGCTCGAAAAGTTATCGGATATGGCCAAGAATCGTAATCAATGGCGAATGTGTTGCGATTTCCTTCTTTCTTCCATTCCCAATGATAGTTAAGGAACACTGTTTGAACCTGTTAAGAATGATTGTTTTCCTTCCAGATGAAGTTCTTTATTCGTTCTCTACTTATATATATTCTTTCTTTTCCTGCCTTCCTTCCTTTTTTTTCATCTATGTTGTTTTATTATTATTGTGTGGCGCATCCTTCTTGGCGCCATATTGTACCAAGTTTTAATGCGTTTAAATAAATAAATAAAAATAAATCAAACTAACATTCATGCACTTCATGGATTGATGCCAGGTTCTGATTTGACCATCCCTAACTATTTTCTAACCTAATCATATGCTAGCCAATACCGTTCGACGAAGGTGGTATAACATGCAAAACACATGTCCCAGCCACCTCAATATATGCAGCTTCACAACGTCATCGGGTGACCTGCCCACCTTGCTTACACTCTAAGCCTAACTTCAATATTACTAAACATATTACACCACTTAACATGCCAAAAAGTAAACATCTGAGACCAAAAACAGCCACCCTAACGCCCACATTACACAGCTGTAAAACAACACAGAAAAAGCCACCGTGCAATACACACGACCTCTGACAGATAGCCGGATATCACGTCTACGCCAGAGATGACGTAGACTGACTTCAAACAAATCACAAAATATCATGCCGGATCGGTCGGGGCCCGGATTAACAACGACCGCGCTTCCTGCTGCCGTGTCACAGGGCAGAAGTGATAAATGTGCTACTGAGACACACCAAATAAAAAACAACAAACAAAAACAGGCCGTGTGTGACCGGCCTCAAGCAGTTGTCCCCTGGGCTCTGCGGTCACGCAACCAACTTCCACGGTGTGGGCAGCCGGGAAGTAACAATCGCCCTCACAACCCGAAGAGCAGACAGATTGGCAAATAACACACGAGCACTTTGTATTTCTGCTGCAACTTTATCAGTAGTCAGTTTATTGGGGCTGCAGCAACCTCCCACATAAGTGGAGTGGTCAACACACTGAAAAAATTTACACTCTATCTACAAAACTAGGTGTCGGTGCAGACCAGTCTTGCAACATTATCTTACATTTCATAAGGGCGAATCTTACGGTAAACATACCAAGACTTCTTAAGACGTTCAGAAAAAATATTTTTTCAGCGTCTTCATCCAGAACCATATCAAACACATACCAGGACAACTATATTGCTTGAGTTTCATGCAATATTTCTGGTGAGGGACCCACACGAATCACTGTACTTTTTTCTAAATTAGACCGACCGATGAACAACAAGAAGCTTAAGTATGTACACATGAAAGTTCTCTAGTTATAAGCAATTTTAATAACCACTGACATATGGTTTTGTAAGTGAATTTAGTGGTTGTCTATCTAGATTAGTTGCAACGAATTTTCTTTTGTTAGTGCATTTAAAGCGATAATTTCGAAAGCCACCCAAACGAGAGATAAACTTGGCATATAAAAGCATTATTGTAGTACAAACAGTTAATCCACAAGGTCATACCTATGTATAAACTCACCCTAACGGTATTCGACTTATATAATGATTGATTCATGTTCATGCTTAAATGCTACAGCTAAAACAACTGTGGTGGTTGTGGAAATTATGGTGGCTAAAAATTGATCGTTCGTTGTACAAAGCTGCGAAGGACAAGATTAACTTAAATACGGATTTATACATTTACAGTGTTGTGAAGGAATGTAGACAGTATTTCGCACCGCCCAATAGTGACGTAATTAACAAAATATGTAACATTTAAAAATAATTGAGTTGACCGATTAAACGAAAATTATGAATTTATCCCTCCTCACCATTTCAAACTTTTGAAAAAACTCTGGTCTACCCGAGAAAGGTATTCTTGCATCGTGGACTTCAATGATAATATCAACAAGTGGGAGTTTAGAATGGATAGCCTCCATGCCTTTATGCATATGTCCTGGAAACCAATGAACCGACTGTGGACTAACAGTTCGAATTCTTTCTGTTTCCAATAAACTCTTCTCGAAACATTCTGATGACAACCACCGCCTACCAACCGACCAAGCAAACATCCGGTATGAATTAAAAATTGCAGACATTGTGCTGAACAAGCGGAGCAGTATGGACTAAGTTTGACTGTATTGTTAGACACTCAAATAATGATTGAATTAAGCAATTTTCGAAGTGATCCAAAACCTTTAAGAAAGAAAAAGAAACTACATTAGCGTAAACAAAGTTTAAAGCTTCTGAAATAATAGTTAATTCAGTGATTGGCATTTATGTAGATATGCGAAATAACTAGACATCATTTGAAATAGCACAACTTATTTAATCGGGTTACAAGAAATCAACAAATTAACTTTATAAAACTCTTCTTGAAGCTTTTCAGAATTTTGTAGTACTAAATACCAATGATCAAATCAAGTAGAATTGAACACTGGGTGGTTATATATGTCACAGTTAGATTTCTTAACGATCTGCGTTAACACACACTTTCTTGTTGTTGTTAACGACTTTATGAACTGGTACCATGGTTTGGTCTTCCCAGTTTGGTCCTGGTTTAGGAACACAATGGCGCGACATGGATAAAGCATGTTTCCAGACACGATAATCGATGAAGACTGAATCTGTCCTCAGCTAACTTCCCTTCTTTACCTACGTCTAAATCCGATTTCATTCTTACTATGTTTTCTCAATGAATGTTAGCAAGTGAACGAGGATGTCTATGATCAAAAACCTTTATTCTTTTCATATCCTCAAATTGTTAAGAATGACGAAGAAAACCGTTGGGCAACACACACTATTTGATGTATATCTCAACATTACGACTCAATCAAGAATGATGCGAGTTGGCTAATGTCAAGCAAGCTCGATGCGTCTGTAATGAAATCGCTTTCGACCTATCTTGTAGAACCACCTTACATTTGAAACAGTATCGCATGCCAAAAGTATTCAAACTATTGCTTACGGTTTCCTGAGGATCTTAGTATTCGTCAGTATTTTCACCTCAAGAAACTATGTCGTTTGAGTACACCAAGTCAGCCCACTTTCCCCTAGTAGGAAGTCGATCCCTGCGAGGCTGAAACAATAGAGTCAAAGTCGTCAGTAATTCTGAAGCACGAGACAAATATGGTAACACCAGGTGTTCGAAAGTGAACGCTAATAGTCATCACTACAAAGAATAACTTTCTCTAGGTTTCCATACAGCTGTGTGAGATCGAGTGCAGAGCCTGATTAGCAACGCACACCCACACATACTCGGGACTTTCTTCACAGATCGGAATTATTAAAACATCAGTCAATCAATGATTAAGTGTTGCCTTCAAGTCACTGGAAACGTAGCTCGATAACGATTATTTAAACTTAATGATACAGCCTGGGTACCCAAACTTTGATATTTACAGAAAAGTTTTAACTCATGGTACAGTGGTTGCACCACGGAGATAACTTCAAATTAAGAAAGATAATGTTTCAGCTTACACTTACCTAGCAACTACTTGCTTTTGAAACTCATTCACTTACGAAAACGCATTTGGACGAACCAAAGCATGACTAGAATTCATACAATAGTTTCAAAAAGGAGTAGCAAATTACTCCAACTGTATGATTTATATAATAATGGTTTCTTAGTGTGGTGTTACCAGGTGAGACGATATCCATAGCTACGTCTAAAGTTGGTGTTAGGCAGGAACGTGTGATTCAGTAAACAGAAGTATAAGAGATAATCACCGTCACCTGTTATTCACCATGGTATTCTGTAGATACTACCGAATATACCTTACAACTGACTCGGTCTGTCTACTTAAAAATTGCAAACACCTGCTTCTCTGTCTATATCTGTGTCCTTGACTTTTACAGACAGGATGACGGTTTTTGGTGAAATCCATCCTTTTATTTTATTTAAATCCTAGTTATAAGACGCATAATTAGAGATCACAAATATTGATAACATAATCATCTCTTGTTACAGACTAATTTGGCCAGGCACTACTCAAAATCCAATTGAGAATAAATCACCAGGTCCAATGAATTAAAAATAGAATATAAGTATAAAACTTGGCCACTGTGGTAGAGTGTAATTCCATTATGGATAAGATTTTATTTTGATAATAAAAATAATAAAAATAGAATAACCTGACACTTATAAAGGGTAGCTCGGAAATTCAATATATTTGCCAGATAAAGTTATGTTGATAAATGGGTTTGTATGGTTTTTTCTTGTCTTAAAAATATGGCGCACATCCATCTTTGGAGTGGTCAGAGTTTTAAGGTTTTGAAAGCCGCGTACTTAATCATGAGCAGATATTTTCAGGTGGCTGCTAATGGGTCCTATCTCAAATGGAAATGAAAACCTCAGGCATTATATAGGTCAAGTTATTTAACTTATGAAGGATATCTCCTTACAAGGATAGCCAGCCATTAATTTCCTTCGCTCAATCAACAGCATCCAGTCATCATATTTCAATACATTTAGCATTATATCACCACCTAAACTGCTCACCTTGTCTAAAACTACCTAAATACCCATAAAACATCATGACACATATGTCCTACGTCAGAATTTTGATCAGACTGCAATTATATAAAACGACTGAGTAGCTGGAAGTCACGCAAATAAAAACATTTGGGGGAATTCGGGGGTAATGTGGCAAAAATTAATACTGGAATCAGAATACTAGCCATTTTTCACTCATCGTTCACGTTACTTCACTTGTTAAAAGGTCTCTAGCCTGTTTTACTGGCTGTGTTTATAATAAGCGAAAAAAATTAGTGAGAATCAATTACACTTACAACAAACATTCTGCCAATCTTATATACTAGATCAATTCCTTTCAAAAGCTTTTGTGGTACTATTGTAACAACAGAAGGCAAGAGTCAGGCAACAGATCATTTATTAAGGAAATCAACGCATATCTATATATTTTCATGTACATTACTATGGATATTTAAGCAAACAAAGTCTTCCGATTGGTTGTTTCTCACGTAAAGTTAATCTCTCATCTATTTGTGACTGTTTCTTGAATGTCAAATCCTCTATAAGTTAACTGCATCCGCCTACGCAAAGTATGCTGTGGTCGGTTTTGAATCAATCTTTGTTCACATTTTCTCACGACAAATCTTGGGAACGTAAATATTGACGTAAACTACTGTCTACCAATTTGGCTAGTAGACAGCTCTCACCACACTATGATGCCAGACTACTTTAGGAAATGTGAGGAGATTGTAAGGCTTACGTTACTACAGAGATAAGGGTGTAGAAAGTGAAATACTACGGCAAAAGGGCAAAGTTTAACAAGAGTCCTAAGGGATGCGAACGCACAAGTGCCCCTCAGCCGACCAATCATAAAAATGAGGAATTTTGCACAAAAGATGACGTATATTTATAAGAAAATGCATGAAAACATAGAAATCAAGGTATCTTTCTGTGACATGACTTAAAAATACGTCCCAGTTATAATCAGGAGTATCAGTTGTTAAGTTAGAATAGTTTCTGCACATGTATTCACCGAGGTGACAGATGAGATGTCTTTTGAATCGTTAATCTCTCTCATCTTGTTGTCCAGTCTTCCCTTAAAGCCATCGGCTGAATTACTATGGTTACCAGTGAGAGGAGCGACGACTACTTACCAGGAAAATGTGGATGAGAAAACAAATTAACTTAAATGACGTCAACTCTAAATCTATCTCTAATCGTAACCCTAGCCTTAATCCTGACCCTAACCCTAATTACAACCCTTATCTTAGCCATAATCCTAATTATGACCCTGATCCTAATTCCAATACTTACCTTAACCCTAATCCTAACCTTAACGAGCTACTAATCCATTGACCAAATAGTACTTAAAAACGTGATCTGGGTGAAATTTCCTCCGTATTTGGTCAATAGCGTTGATATTCCAGCCATGATAATGACAGGTGCTGTTAACCAAACACTAGCATGCGCTCAAGGTCATTAGGGCGTTCGCCAGAAAATGAGACAGAAATCAATAGGGCTGTTTTATGAGTTTTTCGATAATGATATGCCCCTTTTAAAGTAAGATGGATCTTAATAAATATGCTACGCTTATAAGCTAAGTTTTAAAATGTGATTCCCCAACAAAAAGCTAGGTTACGAAGTGGGCCGATGAGCTTTCGAATCCTTTACTAGCTGCCTGTTAACTTAGAGTTACTATGCGTACGGTTTGACTACCTAAACGAAAATTTTTTTTTACTCAGACATTTCGGAAAATAGTGCGTGAGCAAGCACTCAAAATACATACCAAAATATCATGATACACTAGACAGAAAAAATCTTACGTTGTTTGGTAACGCATTATTTTGGAAGCTGCTGTGTCCTGTACCATTCAAGAGTACAATGATTAAACTTTTGAGTACGAAAATAAGTAGATGATAAATTGACCGAAACATTGAGCAAACGACTCATATCTAAATAAGATTTCACTTTTTTAAATGCTCTGGAGTCTAGTTATAGGCACATAAATTCGCTAATCATGGTAAACCTGGTCAAAATTCGTCCCAAAATCTACCGCTTGACAAACTATTAACAACCAAGATGCGTTTGAACAGGCTCTCCTCAGAAGACGATAGGCAGATTTTTCTTAGGCATTTCATTCAGTACAGATAACTTGAACTATTCCGGTGAAAATGAATATAATGACGGAGACTGAACTCGGAATTATCTTAGCTATATTCTGACTGTTCGTACATGATTTAGTTCATGGAAGGGTTCTCACAACTATCAAAGATATTCTAATGCCTTTTTATGAAGCCATAGGGGTTGGTGCCACTATCCCTTGGCAGCATGTTCTCTCTCTGTCAGCCTGCCAAGGAAGCTGGTTCAACATTTTTGCACAAATTTTCTAATTCAGGTAGACAGATTCACCAGTCAGTCAATTACCTGTCCCTTATTTATTGTTTGTCTCATTCCTACTTACCCACATGGCGTGGATTTTCGGAGTGATGTTTGCCATTATTTCATACTGGTAATCTCGCTTCCAGTCGGTGCTAAATTACATACCCACCTGAAAGATTGCAAAGTAGTGTAATTAGGTGCCTATAGGCTGAGGAATGTAAAATACTCCCTGTGTAACCATTGCTTGTCCTTCACAACGCCTGAGCTCGGTTTAGGTCTAGTTCTAACAGAAAAAAGGACACAAACGTGAATTATAAGGTCGTTGTAGCGAAGTCATATATGGTTGCATACTTTACGTATAGACAGTTAAGTACACTCACTCTTGAGCATTTTCTCAGGCTGTACAAAACGTGTTTAAGACCACACACATTGTTACTCCCTCCAATGCTTCGAAGAGGCGCTAATCTTTTGGAAACAGTCCAATAACGGGTGACAAAACTGGTGGTTAATTTCTGAAACAAACCATATAATGGACGACTAAACAGATTAGATATTTCCACACTGTCGGCTTAGGGGGGACTTAATAATTACTGTCCATAAGATTACAAATGGACAGAATTACCCATTGAAAGGTCCTCTGCCATTAAGTAAATATGGGCTTTCTCTTGTCAATCCACGAAGGATAGCTTAACAGGGAGCAGATGTTCAAGTGTGCTCCTATTTCTTTTCACTGTGGGTTTGTCGCTCCTGGTACTCTCTACCGGCAGATACAGCTTCTGTTTCGTCCGTGGACAGCTCTAAGCTAAGACCGGACATTCAAGAAGCGTACAATGACTGCTTTCAGACGGTCTTTCCACATAGTACTCACGCACTATTTTGAGTAGACACCAAAACTCGTCTTTTTACCACTTGATATTCTCCATTGTTCTACTCTTCTGGCTACTCCATCTATTAACTGCTTCAAATTTTATCAATGATATATATTCTATAGTTTGGTTTGTGAGGATTAATTATGTTTTACGAGTTGATCACGGACTGATATCAGTTAGAGAACCATTGAAAACCAGGGAGCACTGGACAGCTGCTGTTTCATCCTAGTTTGGGAATCATCGGCAGTACGCACCCACTGGGATTCGAACCCAGGACCTTCCGGTTTTCAATGGTTCTCTAACTGATATCAGTCCGTGATCAACTCGTAATGATATCTATATATATATCGACCAAATTTCATTAGCCATCTTTGCATTTTCTTTTAAAGTCTGCATAGTTCTTAAAAATTACATGTAATATTATTATTCTAATCCATATTTTCAACCAATAAGGGGTGAAAAGATCAACTTCATTCATAGTAGCAGAATGATCTTAAAACACCGCATACTGTAAACCACACATTACTAATTCCAACACCCTTCCGAAGCTACGAAAGTCGAGTGGCATGTCAAACTATGCAGAAATTTAACCAAGCCCAGGAACCTTTATCTCGCAACCAGTAAGCGAGCACAAAGAAACAAAATAGCGAACTCAATATGAACACAAGCTTGCAGAGCTGATGATGGATATTGATTCACCAGTGATTTAGCGCGTCATTCACATTGTGCGTTACTCCTGGTTATTTGCCGAAGCAGGAACTTATGTGGTAAACACTAGTCAGTGTTTTACTTTCTTTCCTTGGGAGTCAAGTACCTGGATTAATAGATACAAAATCTGCAGCGAAGACAATACTGTTTGTAACTCTACACCACCGTACTTTTGAATTAAACGTCCTCTGCACAACCTGCTGCTCAGCTTGTTACGGTAATTTTTATGCATATAGTCATCGTGTTGCTCATCACTTTGCGCGTATGCAATTCAAAAATTGTCTTTGTATCCGGTTTTAGGGGCATGTTTTGGACGCTTATCACGAAGTTAGCATGAATACGGAAACGAGGCCCACCCTGTAGAAGTAAAAACCACCATCGGTGGTCGCCCAGGTGTCCATCGTTGCTCTAACTGCAGTCATGTTTGCCAGAGACATCTCCTGAACTTTACTGACAGAATATCTAGGATTCCAGACCTAAGAGGACTTGGCATAACTGGGGATTACAGAAATTCCCTGCCGGGTAGCTTCAGGCTCGATGACTATGTGTTGGTTGTCTCTTTACTTTTAAAGAGATTCTGGAATCCATGGGCATGCCTTTAGGAGTTCGAAATTCTGCATCTTGCTTTAATTGAGGGCGGTATTTGACCCCTATATGGAGTTGCTCTGAAAATGTCTGCACTTAGGTGAAGTGCCGAGATATATTTCATCAACTAAAACATTTAGGTAAAAATCATGCGGACGTGTAATTGCTTGTGAAGAGTTGTCACTAGTGACATTCACTATTGCCATGCTTGTTCGGTTGTGGAATTGAATATACCGTGGTCATAATAAATTTACGTATAGATATGAATGAGTGAATCTGATATTTCAAGGTTTCTCCTACTTCCAAGAAAGCCCTGTTCACGTAAAACATTCAGCGAACGTAGGTGAAAAAGTTGGAGAAATGTGGGTTCTAAGAGTAGCAAGTAAAACCGGGAATGGGTATGTAGTGCGATGTCTTTTTTAAATCTAAGTTGTTTAAGGAATGGTCTTCATCGACTCTTAATTTAAGGATAGGGAGTGAAATGTTTGTATGTGCTGACCATTTCACTTAGTGGAGAAGTTGTATTAGTTGTAATTGTTCGATGGCTGACGAAATCTTAACGGATACGTAGAGCCCTTTTTCCATTTGTCAATTTACGCCATCTTTGGTTCAGTTATAATATGAGGCTATTCATCAGTGTTTACGATGCAGCCGTTCACTCTATCCACTTCGGCTATTTTTCGTACTTATTTGTCATAAATCACTGAATCATGAACTTTGAGAGCTGTTTGCAAGTTACGAAAATAACTAATTCTTTTTACGTTCAAATTAAGGTAGTCTAAATGAACCTTACTTTTTTTATTTGGATTCGTGCTAGGAAACAATTGGTCTACGTAAATTTTATTGCATTGTCATTGTACACAGGAAAATCGATTCATCGATTAGTCGACTGTTCAAAATCACTTTGTCAGATAATTTGGTTAATACCCTACCTAATAGATACTTTGTGTATCGGATCGTTGTTGAGTATTTCGATTTTTTAACTCTAATTCCAATATTTTTAGCGCTCAGGTCAAGTCTTCGTCTTTGTTTTAGTTGTAATTGTAAATATTTGGATCAATACATTTACTGATATCAATATTTCGCATTTCGTAATAACTGCATCACTAGTTTTCACCATAGAACATTAATTTTACTCTGGAATATAGTTACAATGCTTTTCTTAATAGGTAACTCTACAGTCATGGATATACATGCTAAGAGGGGCCTGATTTTTATTTGAAGTTAGTTTGAACTGGTTGTATGAGAATGTATTGATTTCGCATACAAAATTGATTCACAGAAACAGAAACTATAAAACCTGAGCATGAGTTGAATGTATTTCTTATGTTTAAAACCATCAAACGCAAGGTTAGGTGTGATAACGGATATCCACATTTAACTGACTGATATTTCTATTAGTAAATTATCAACACTCAGGTTGTTAGCCTAGCAACCAGCTTTCATTACTACTTTCCCTGTTTCATTTTGCTTTATTTGATTTGTCTACTTCTTTCTTTTTACATCAGGTGATGAACAAAGATCATAAACCACGAGTACGCAAACGAGCAACACATATTGTAACCGACTCCAAACCACGACACAATTATGGGAGTGAAAAACCGTTGTTTGTTTACTCATGTATCTGCGGGCAAATGTCACTGATAATCGATTGTTTAGTGGAGAAATTACCCAGGCGCCCCAGAGATGATGCTAGAGTTATTGATGGCTCTAAACGTGCACATAAGACAACAGCTACAGCTGTTAATCCACTCACTCCAGTTTACATACGTTGGCCAAACGGTATAGAGAAGCAATTTCGGAGATATTGCAAAAGTTGTGGACTACCTATCTTTTATCGTCATAGTGCTCAAAATTCTACGGTAATTTTAAGCAGATGTAAAATTTAATAATTGTAATACGAATTAATTTGTGTTTAAGTCGTCCAGTGTTACTAATTTATAAATATTGGTGCACTAAACTTTAAATGTATACGGATGACGTTGAGGGATTAGCATACAAAAATCTCTTAAAGCAGTTTAAGTAGTGTGTACATATTTTTTTGAATTGATTAAAAGGGTTGTTATAATGCTGACTGATTATTAGGCGTGAAGTTATTTAATGTGTTACCATTGACTGATATTTCGTAATAAGAACTACCTGGTCGCGCTACAGTTTTGCTTGTTCTCAAAGATCAGACTAATTGACAGTCAGGAAAATTGGCAACTATTGCGTGTATTGAATGCCGACTGGACTATTTATACACTATTACATTGACGACCCCAATATACCGTTGGCATTTGCCAAATATCTCTGGTTCACCTCTATGGGAAAATA